GGCAGTTGAGTGTTGGAAGTAACCTCACTTAATGATGATTGTTGAATGAAAACAGCTGATAAAAAGACAGCAAACAGTAAAGTAAGATGCGTAGCAACAAAACTTTTCCGAAAAACAAAAAACCCTCACTTCCCCTCATCCAATTTATGAGTTTTTAGGGATTTAAAAATCGGGGACGAACCCCAGAAAATAATTTATAGTTTTCCCGAAGCATTGAGAACAACACCTTTCAAATGAACCAACGCCCCTCGCAATTAGTACAGTGGTTGATTCACAATTTCATTCTATTTTTCAAATTAAATATTAAGATATCCTCTTGCACATTGTTTTATTTTATTAAAGCATGGCCTATGTTGCAATCATTGCATATATTTGAAAAATTGGCTAATAGCTGAACTTTTGTTTTCGTCATCATGAGTAGCCGAAAACCTAAGCATCTTATAAATATTTTAGTATACCTCTCTCTCCGGAAAGTTTTTCGACACAATTTCGGAACAAAATATAGAAAAACAGAGTCAATTTTCTTTATTTTTACGTCAAAACGCCCGTTTAAGATTGCCAGCTCATGCTGTAATATGTAGGCCCGACTTTCAGGTTCAAAGCAATTATAGTGACTCCTTGGTCTTGGAAACAAGTTGCGAAAAACGAATGAGCAAAAAACAGTGACTACAGTATGAAAACCGTTACTTCATCCGATTGGGCCGAATTGATAAGAGTTTCACCACTGTGCAGAGGGCATCATAAAATCGACCGTTAAAATCATCATTGAAATACTCAAAGATTTGTTAATTTAAATTTAAGTTCAACTATCCCAAGAGCTCAAATTTTCCAATGACCCTGGCCTAAAAATGTAATTATCAACTCCTCGGAATTGACAGTATAAAGCTTTGATAACCATGCGATTCGTCAACATTGCACATGAAAGATCAAAGAACTCGAGGTGGGAGTTGCAGTCTATCCCCTCCAAAAAGTATCCCCCACGGCTGCGATAATGCGATTACTCGCTCGGAATTTATTCCCTCTCTTTTTTTACGCAAAATCTAAAAATATGACCTTTATTACGCAATACATACTCCCTACCGTTGGCGCTTTGCAAAGGCCGGAGAAAGGGGACGTCCCAGGTTACAGCACCCGGAATGCCTACGAGGGCATTTCAAGGGAGCATAGTCTAGACGCGGGGCTGAAAAACTCATTACGGCCTTTCACGGAAGATTTACACCCACGGATACGACGGGGCAAAACGAGCAACTGCCTCTGAGGGCCGAAAATGGAGCCCGGGGATGCAGATGCAGGTGCATAAATAAGGGGAATGCCCCAGGTATGCACAACATGCAGAGCAGATAAAGCTTTTCGTCGATATTACATCGGCCAATCTTAGAGATAAGTTAGGGTGTTTTCCCAGACTCGCTTCTTCCCCTTTCGTCCCCTCTGTGTTTTCCGATCTCCTGGTACTCCCAAACCACGAATCTCGTTCGGGGCGTTCAAGAATCTCCGCTCCTATTTTTTTTTTCTCTTTTTTTTCTTCCTTTTTTTAAAGGAAAACAAATCAACGACGTTCCTTTAAAAATAATCAGAATTTAATCCGCGTGGAGAGGAAAAATCACGACAATATTTGAGTAGTTCTCCATTTTTTTGGCCTCCTATGGTGTAGTGGTTGTAGCGCTAGCTCCATGATCGGAAGGTCCCAGGTTCGATTCCCGGCCAGCAGGCGACTGCGATTGGTTGTAGGGACGGAAGGGGAACGGGACTAAAGCGCCAGGATTAGCCCCCGTGGGCTATTTGAAGTAGTAAAACCTTAAGTAACTCGCATGCGCATGTTTTCTTTGACCTTTCAGTGTTTGATTGTACTTTTCAACATATTTATATGCTGAGAGGAAAAAATTAATCGAATCATAAGGAATTATGAAGCAAACAAATTTTATGAACTTAGTTTCTTTCATTTTTTCTGTAGCTTTATTCACTGCATGAACGTCAATTTTAGACTTGATGCTCAGAAACTACTGAAAAATTAACATAAATTTCAAATATCTCAGTATGATTTTACGGAAGTACCTTTTATTTTTTACTCAAGCCGCCAACGAAAGTGACCGCCTGTGAAACCTCACGAGCACCCGACAAAATTCCTGAGAATAAACTCTTTGCTCACAACCCTCAGAAGTATCACAAACATATCGTCGCTTCTGTGACTTGAGGGCGTATTTCGATTTCCGCATGAGCCCTGTTCTGCGTGTATATCCATACTTTCTGAGGCTGAAACAAAATTCCAGCTTTACCCTTACGTCAAAGCAACGACGATATCCTCCCAATGCAGAGTAATATTCTTCCGTGCTGAAGAAAAACGTCATAAGTACTTTTGAATGTTCCCATGTTCCCCCTGATAAAACATTTATTTCGGAAGAAAGTTTTGCATATTGTTTTCCTAAGCCTTTCAGATTTTTCAGATTGAATTGCTAACAAAATTGTATGAAAAATTGGATGGAAAATGTTTACAACTTTTCCAATACAAGGTGGTACAATAGTGTTGGGTCCACACTACTTTTACCGGGAGAAGCAAAGCCAAAAAGTTCAAAAGTTCAAAAGTTTTTGAAAAAGTTTTTTGGCTCCGTTGTACCAAGCCCGACACTATTTCACCTCCTTTTTACGTACGGACTACGTTCCTAAATTTTTTTATCTCGTTTCCCAATACGTTTGTATTTTATCAAAGACAATTTGGCAACACCTGAAAGTTCATACGATTTTTTCCCCCAGCACGGCAGAATTGATACCCAGAACGTCATCGTCATGCCGACCCGACGTCGATCTTAATGGTCAAGCGAATCAATTCAATACATCGATTTGCATGCACGCACCCTCCCCTTCCCCCCNCCCCCCCCCCCCCCCCGGGAAAGGCGAAAGCCCGAATGATCCCCGATCTGGCACCCGGCCAGCCCAATAATCCCCCGTGACTTTTTGCTCCCCGTTTTTATGACTCGAGTTTTTATTTTCGTAGCGCCTTTCTAATATTTTCCCGGGCGTCTTCGTCCGCCCCCGCGTGGGGTTTTCCCTCGCTCGGGGCCCGGTTAAGCGCTCAGTCGCGTGTTAAATTGAATCGTTGCATGTTCAAAATGCCCCGGCACCCGCTCAGGGGATCGAGTCAATGAAAGGGGTGGGACATGAAATTTTTGACTAAAACTGCAAATGTTGATGTTAATTTCGTGACATTTTTAAATGTCAAGGAGTGCTTCAAGAAAAGAATTTTACCAGGAAACCGATGAACCACTTCCAGAACCTCAAAATGGAGTTATAAGCGTTTAAAGTCTCCAAATTTTGTCCGACTTCTCGTAATGACTCGCTCCACTGTGTGCCGGCCGTGCTCGTGCCTCGCCGCGGCGGAAAATCCCATTTGTTTCGAAACGTTGCTTAAGAACCTCGTAATTTTTCTCTTCGGCCCCAGTTGCCGTCCAGGGCGAAAGATCTGGCCGGGCCAGATTTTTTTTGGGGGGGGGGGGGGTCACGGACGTTACATTTTGTCGTTTCTTATGAAGAAACGCAACTGCGTTCCAGTGTTGCCAAAGTTCTTCTCGACAGTTACATTTTTACTGGGAGAAGCTTGGGCATTTCTGATTGAAAACTCCACTGATTTTTCCTCTGATCTCGTACAAGAATCAGACAACTTTTGGACAAAAATTCCCAAGGTATACTCTTGTGAAAATTAAATTGTTTTGATCAGTTTTCCGACCTTGGAATGGAGTTACGTTTCCTCGCCCGGAAAACGATGATTTGGACACTTTTAAGGGCTGGGAATAATCGAGAAAAACCGAGACTCATTTTGGAATGAAAAATTTCAGGATAAAATCAGAGAATATATTTCCATTCATGACACCATGGATGAATTTTTACGTACCTTTACTCACCTTGTTCTTCCTGATTCTCTTACATCGTACAAGGTACAAGGTCAGGGTGTCCTACAAGTCCGGAAATAGTACTGATTTTTTAAGGGCGGTCCGGAAGTACTGAAAAAGTGCGCATTTTCCTCTGGAGATACGGAATTTTTTTCATTTTTTTGTCATTTTTGTCGCATTTTAAGCGTGAAATTGAAATTTCTGAAATTTTTTGAATTTCGTCAAATAGAGAGGTATTGAAGAAGTGCCGAATTTTTTTGTTGAGGTGGCACTGAATTTTTCGGGAATGCACTGAAAAAGTACAGATTTTTGACCAGGTTTTAGTAGACACCCTGAAGGTACATGAAAATTCATCTAAGGTGTAAATATGACTCCGATCAAGTGAAAGCCCACTGTAGGCTTGTTTCCATTTGTTAATTTTCTCTGTGCTTTCAGCTCCTGGGCCACCGACCATCATCGCTGAGGAGTGTAGTGCGGAAAACAATGGTGTGACACTTTCCTGGCAACCTCCACATTCCTCCTACGTCGAGGGCTACGTTCTCGAACTGGACGACGGAAACGGTGGTGACTTTAGGGTGAGCAATTTTTCTACCCTCATGTCCAATGTCTTGTCGTAGAGTCCTGTCAAGAACCGGCGCGAACTAAATCAATTTCGCATCCCCTGTCTGTGCAAAAAAAGACACATCCTTAACTTTTCAATTTCAGAAAAAAATGGTTCAATTATACTTATTTGGCTCTATTCGTTTTTGATTTTAAGAAAAAATGTCTTATCATTGTAATTAAGGAACATCTTTTTTTTTTTTGGTGGAGAGATTTTTCCCTTCTAAATTCAAATTATTTTTTGGGGAAGCAACCTTGATCAGTTCACACGAGGAAAAATGGATCGCTGATTTAACAGTTTTATAGTTAAAAAGTGTATCAGACATGTTTCAATGTAGTTTTTACAATAAAATGCTAATTCAACCACCTCCGTGGTTAAATTAGGTTTCCACTGGTGTAAAACGTACATTTTAAACGTGTCGGACATATTTGTTAACAATTTTTTTGTGAAATCAGCAGTCCATTTTTTTCCCATAAAATTGACCAAGGTTGCTTCCCAAAAATTAGCTCGAATTTAGAGAGGAAAAATCTCTTCACTCTAAAAAAAAGATGTTCCTTAATCACTATGATGCGGAATTTTTCTCAGAATAAAAAACTAATAGAATCGAATAATCCTAATGGAACAATTTCTTTTTTTCTGAAATTGAAAAGACAGGTTTTGAACCATATTTTTTTCCTGCGCCGCGCCAGCCGGTGCCGTCTCACAACATCACAACATCAGCGCTGGCACGAAAAGCCAGCATTCGTTAAGGAAAAACGTTGTGTGAGCCTTGAGACGCTGCCAAATTTCCTTTAACAAAACCTGAATTTTCTATAAATTTTATATAATTAATTGGGGTGCTATCATAATTAATTGGGGAACTACCACAATTAATTGGTAATGTCCATATCATCCAACAACCTCGTGCTTTTTTTCCGTGTATCAGAACATTTTAAAGAAAAGTGCCCATGACAAAAATCAATGTTTTCCCGGAGGAAATTTGGCATTTCTCGAATGTTCATGGGGCGTTTTTCCTTAGCACAGCAATATGTGCCTCACCGATTTTTTCCGTGATACGTGGTTGTCCACGATCGTAAGCTTGAAATTGAGTTGACTGAACCAGGCGAGCCCATTGTCCAGCCTTCCAGCCCCCCCCCCCTCTCCCCCTAAACAAAACATTGATTTTCGTGCACGGACAACGACGAGGAAGTTGACCGCCCCAACTCGGATGGTCCTGGGCGAAAGAACGGGATAATCTGTCGCTCCACTGATACAAGAGCGTATAGCCTGTGTCACACTATCAAAGCTAAGCATCAAAATATCAAGGTCAGGCGTTGTGATTGGCTTTTCCAATGACTTGGACCAATCACAGCCCTTGACCTTGACATTTTGATGCAGTATTTTGACGGTGTGACAAGGGCGTATCTCAATTCCCGCATGAGCCCCAGAAAGCATGGATTCATGTGTAAAAGAGGGCTCACGAGGAAATTGGACGTATATATGTTGAAAGGAATTATGTGCATAGGGTTTGCGTGAGACGTAGTTCCTTCTGGCATAAAATACGTTCAATTGGACTGCATTTTGCAATGTGGAACTATAAATTCTGGCTCATCTGAAAAAACACTTATGTGCGTATAGGGGAACTAATGGCACATACGTTGTTTTTAAACCGGGCTAGAATTTATAGTTCCTAATTGCAAAATGCAGTCCAATTGAGATACGCTCTTACGCCGGAGTAACGACGAATTTAGAGGCAAGGTGACGAGTCGTGCACGGAGATTAAAACTTCGGTAACAGCAACCGATTCTTTCAGTGGGCGCTTTTCAGTCCGCTGCTTGTTTAAATTGGACCGAGTTTATCAGAATGGAACCAACCCACTCTTTCGAAAAAATTGAGTTAAAAATGTTTTTGAGTTTCACTAGTCTTATATTTTGGTGAATTCTACGATTTTCATGACAGTTAATCGAGGAATTGGTGCTTGGAGAGTGACTGGTGAGCTGGCATCAATGAGGACATGTTCCTCAGGCATGATGTGGAACAAATTTGATTCGGTTACACTGGACTTCAGAATGAGAGCAATACTGCCGTGCTAAGGAAAAACGCCGTATGAACATTCGAAAGTTGCCTAATTTCCCTTGATAAAACATGTATTTCTGGCAAAATCAATACATATTTTTCCTTGTAATTCTCAGATATCAGATATTTTAAGTTAAATTGCGTACACAATGCTCTGAAAATTGTTGAAACTAATATTCACAATTTTCCTAGTAATTCCGGTTCTTATCGAAGGAAACTTGGCAACGTCTGAAGGCTCATACGGCGTTTTCCCTTAGCACGGCAGAATACGGAATGCATGCCCCGGGAAATTGAACGTAACCTGCTAAAGTTCAGAATTATGAGGATAAGAGAAAAAGTCATGAGTTCAAATCGAGTTTACCCTCCGAAAATCAGGTTCAATCCCTGGAAAGTGCATATCAATGTCACGGTATGATGGCTCAATAGTAACACAAGTCCTCCAGGTCGGAGAAATTATGAGAATTCATTCATGTTGGTTGCGCTATTTATTCTGCAAGCTTTTAATTTGGCTTGGTCGAAGAACTCGAGTCTACTTATCTCGTGATTTTTGCTAAATTTTTCCGAAGTTTTTCGAACATCCCCTCTCAGAAAATTCAGGACTCACAAAATTCGGACAACGTTTTCCGTGACCTGTCCCCTTTCTTTTATAACGCCCGTCTGTTGTTTAATACTCTCGAAGAGGAACTTAGAAAAAAAAACTAACAAAACTGCCAAAAATTCTAGCACACTTTATGTCTAAAACCGGGACCACCCGGGAATCATCCGGGAATAAAAATGTCCGGGAAAATCAGGGAGGCTCTTCTTCTGCCGCTTAGAGGTCATTTCGTTTTCAAAGTTTGTGGAAATTTTAAGTACCTCAAGTTATTCAGGTTTGTGATTGCACCTATGTCGCTATTTATTAACCTCTTGAATAAAATTTTTGAATCTTTTAATCATCATAATAATAGAAAAGCCTCCATTGACTAAATAATATAAACACCAGGAACCCTTTTGACCTTAAAAATTTAAATGTGCGCCAAAAAATCGGCTGAAAGAGTAAACAAATTCTATGTTTATTCCCAAGAAAATCCTGGGGAAGTGGGAGAATACTTTGATTTCTAATCAGGGATTGAGCTCGCAAAAATCGGGGGAAAATCAGGCAATGAGCATTGTCAAGATTTCTAATTCTAGACACCGTGTTCTAGTAGTGAAACTCTGTCTCGGATTAATCGACTCTCTTTATCCGCTTGCCCATCTAGCAGTCCCCATATCCGTTTAGATGGATAAAAATATGCTATGGTATTAATAGCGTGGTCGCAAGTTTTTTAACGCTGATTTTTCTTTCCCTGTGAAAGGTCACAAATACTTTTTTCTTGGTATAATCACACAACATCAAACAACACATCTACATCTAATTTTACTGATACGCGTGTTTTAGTCAGTTCCCATAATGCAAGTACCCTCTGAGGAGAGGGTGGGAAAGTAGCCAACGAAGGGTGAATCTGACCTACCCTCCATCTAACCTCGTGACCGTCCCGCAGCTGACGGCCCCAAAGGGGGAGGGGGTGCTCAGGGATGAATGAATTAGGGGTTGAGCGTCGTTTAAGATTAAAAATGCGCTCGTGCCGTTGGCAGGGTTGCCCGAGGGTGGAGCAAATTACCGGATCGTGAGCTTGTCCTTGTGGCGAAATCGATTAATTTCTTTTGATGTGGCACCACTGCGAAGGGTGCACCCTGCACACGGAACCGACTACAATGCAATATTTATGTGTAAGTGCGCGTGCCTACAAGGGGTAGGCTCCCGCGGGTCTCCAACAGTGGCGTGGCGTGAACTGCGATGTATCGATTGTTATGCCGTTTAAACCTATGGAAAAGGATCGATAAACAGGTTGTTCGCAGCGAACACCTTAATAATCGATTCTTTACCATAGGTTTAAATGGCATAACAAACGATATATCACAATTCACGCCACGCTACTGGTCTCCAACTACTCGCCTTTCTCTCGTGTTGCTGAGTTTTTGCGATTTTTCAATCACTTACTGCGCGGTGTCTCTGTGCCAGGCACCCAGTACGGCCATGGTGAGGAAAAGCGGCGTATGAACCTTGAGATGCTGCCTCATTTTCATTTATATTACACGCATTAAGGAAACTTGCGAATATTTCTTTCCAAGTTTTCAGAGGATTTTCTGCGCAATTTTAACTGAATTATCGAAAAAGCTGAGAGTTAATCGAGTTCGAAACTTAGCAGAAAAATAGTAGAATCTCGATCGCATAGTTTAGAAAAAAACCAAAAAAAAATCGGATTTAGAAAAAAAAATTACAAACGAGAAAAGGCGACAAAATCTCGCATTGCGTGAGAGTATAGTAATTTCTAATTCTGTCGTCTTTCGGTGATACAAGATACCTACACCATTTTTAATTAGTTGAGTTAAGAGAGAAACCGAACACGCGATTTTGCATGGAGCGGTGCGGCGCAGAGAGCAATAATGACGAGTACTTGATATGAAAAGGAGAAACCCTCAGCGCGGCGGTCGGCATGTAACACATATTAGCACCTACAAGACTGCATGAATACTTCACGCATTGCGTCAAATACAGTGCGGTCAGTAGCGGCCGACGTGAAACGCATAGCGCCTACAAGACTGCATGCATACTTCACGCATTACGTCAAAAACAGTGCGGTCAACGCGAAACGCATGGCGCCTACCAGACTTCATGAATACTTCACGCACTGCGTCAAACACAGTGCGCATGCGGTCAGCGCGGCGGCGGAAGTTAAAATTATTAAACCACATTTATGTTTGTTCTTGCATAGGTTTTACGTTCATTTATTAGAAATGGAAGGCCTTGTCCAGACAGAGGTAGGTTTAAGGAACTTATCTTTCGCGTAAAGTTCCGTGAACTTTTGCTAGAAGTGTTGACAGGGCTTTCGCAAAAAATGTGTCCAACACGAGTAAACGAGTCGTATGCACCCCTCCCCCTCCGGCACGTTCATTTGATGGTTTTCATTGATGTTTCAAAACGAATGAGGAGGGGGCGGCAAGTAGGTAAATCCGGCCCTGTCCTTCAATAGTATCGCTTCGACTTGATAGTGGAAGATCACGATTTCAGCTGAAATTACATTGTAGCCCGCGTGAAGTTACACCACCTACGGTGACGTAAGAACATTCATACTCAAATTTGCGACGTTGCAAGTTTTGCACTGCTAATCTTGCCTATGTAGACACTTTAAAACCGTGATTTCTCCGAGTTTATAATCACAAATATTATTGATACACTCAAATCTATTTGTCCATGGATCTAAACCTTGGTAATCAGCTCTGGGAAAGTCTGAGAATTTCGTCGCTTGGCCTCGAATTTTCGAACCCTATTTTGGTGAAAAAGAGTGTCTCCTGACGTCATGTTTGAACTAAGTGAAAGCTTTTTTTCACAAAAGGTTAATTTACTAATTTTTTGTTCACAGGAGGTTTATTGTGGGACAGAAACCGTTTGCACGGTAGATGGTCTTCATTTTAACTCAACGTATAATGCTCGAGTCAAAGCCTTCAATAATACAGGCGAAGGTGAATACAGTGATCTCATTGGTTTACAAACAGCCGAAGGTTGGTATTCAATTATGCACTTGTCCTTCCCTTGCTTACATAAACACTTATTGTTTTAAGCCGAAATATCGCAATTCCTAAACTCGTGTTTAGCCTGTAATGAAATAAACGGCTGAAGTACCTACCCTGGGGGTTTATTCACAGAGAAGACGCGAATGAATAAAATGAACATTTTTACTCGAAGTGAGCTAGAAATAGTTTTGAAAATGTATTAAAATCAACGTTTAACGTGAATGTTCTCTGTTATTGTCTTGCCAATTAAAAGCTGAAACTTAAGTTATTTTGCAAAGTAGGTCTCAAAATTGAAAAGACACCCTCATAATTTTCATTTCAGTCCGCTCTCAGTCAGGTGCCTCAATGTAAATTCAGGCAATGAGGAATTTACTTTTAAATCTTTCCTGAAGTCCCCCTACATTATGAGGTATCTCACAAAATTTCAATGATTCGATTCTTTAATTTCTCGTTAGCAAGTAAAAAAAAAATATGTAAAAAAATAAATTAATAAAAATAAAGCAAGAGAAGAAGGAAGGTTACGTGAAACACTGAACTGCTTGCAGTTTATGTTTCACTTAGTGTTGTAATTTCCATTTTTTTTTTCGTTCTTTCTTCCCTATAAAAACCGACTACTAAACCCGACAAAACAAACTCTACTCTCAATATTGTTATGTCAAAGAAAAAACCCGAATGAGCACTCTTATGTTGCCGAATATCCATCAATAGAAAATTCTATTTTGAGGAATTTCAGGAACATTATCCCCCGACATTTTCAGATACATTATTCAAAATTGCGAATAATATTTAGATGTAAAAAGTCTCAAGCTTTTCAGAAAGTTCGTAATTTCTTTAGAAGAAATGTGGCGACGGTCGAACGTTCGACAAAATTATCAACTTTCAAATCTACAAATTCTAAATCGGTTTCCCCTTTTGAAAAACGACTTATTATTCAATTATTAAAATTACCGCTCGAAAAAATCAGCACCCTCAAAGAAATGCGCCTTTTTCTGTCTCACATTATCGCATCAGAGCTTATAGAACACAGACTGAACGGAGAAGCGTAAAAGTCGCCTTCAATTTCTCAGGATGCAATTGAACCTACATCGGCCGTAGACATGTTCTGCCGCGCTCTGGTGTGGTAGAGGCCGCCCGCGTTTCTGTTACTTACGCCAGCAAGTTCCAGCGGCCCTTCTCCCGCGCTGATAATTTTGGAGACCGAAGCTTTTGCTCCCGCCAAATACATGGGCCTAATAAGTCTCCCCCGGGCTTTTTACACCATCACAGAATCGAATAAAATCCTCCGATCTTAGTATTTGATAAAGAGGTACATCACGGACAAAAAACCAAAATCAGATGTGGTCAGGTAGTTGTCAACATCAGGTTGTCATTGGAGATCTTGCTTGTCCTTTGCCCAGAATGCATGCATTGCCCACTAACTGATCCGTGTATGGATCATTGAGTATAAGCAGAGTTGCTTAGGAGTGGATTATATGTATATCGCACTCCAGGTGTAAATAGTAAACCTATGAGGCGGTGCTGGTCATGGTGACCATAGAGAGGCCGTAAGTGGCCTAGCTCAGCCACTAGGTGGAGATGTGCAACCTAGGTGGTGGTGACACGTAGTTGGGGCGAGTGACTCCGGAGCGAAGTCGTATAAGCCTGCAGGCATGGATGAATATATCTACAGGGCCCGTAGGCGTAAGTATTCTGTTCACCTCCAGAATGTGGAGGCAAGTTGGCAGATGGACCCGGGACGATGATCTCCCACCAAAATTCTATCGTTACCCCGCCTCTTCCGGAAATCGTGGGTAGCACTGTGGCATATCCGGGGAGGGAGGGGGGGGGGTTAGGTATTCGATGTTTTGTTGGAATTTTTAATTTTCATAAAATTCACATAAATTATTAAGGAAGCATTCAAGAAATTACGTCAACTAATTTTCCAAAGAAAAAATAAAGTGTAACAGGAAGTCTGCTATGTTGCGAACGGAAATACGTAGTTTCGCACTTTGGCCATTGATATGTATCCTTGTATACTTTGCGAATTATTCAAACAAAAAGTGCTTAATGATGTGATATCTGTTTTCAGTTGCTTGGTTCACCCTGGACCCTTGTCTAAGCCATCCAGACATAGCCTTCTCAGCAGATCAGTGCACAATTACTTGCGAGGGCTACGAGCACCGAGTAGCATTGGGATCGGTAGGATTTTCGAGAGGCGTCCACTACTGGGAGTTTTCCATAGACAAGTATGACTCCGATACAGATCCTAGTTTTGGCATCGCTCGGCTGGACGTTTGCAAACATCAAATGCTTGGTAAGTACCTACTTACAGAAATTCTGATTTTTTCCCCCATCAAAATTTTCCCAAATTGATCGTGAAAATATCTATAAGCGCACTGCTTCAGTACACTTATTGATAGAGTATAGAGATTTCCATCAGTCCCTTAAGTGTGGTTACAAGAGGAACTCGTGTAAACTCAGGCCAAACTGCAAAGTGATGGGGGAGAGCCCAGCCTAAGGTGTTTTATATCTTCCGGTCCTCATCCTTTTCTCCCGTTTGGTCATTTCATTCAGCTTTTTCTACCCTGGTAAAAATTGGCAGTAGAATCTGTGTTCCAAAATACCATAGACCTACAGCCGAGATTTCCAATAGCTTCTATAGCCGGCAACACGATTTCTTATAGCCTTTTATAGCTGATGGCAACTGAGCAACAGCCTGGCGATAAAGTGTATGCTAAACGTTACTACTAAGAATGCTAGGATTTAGTGAGTTTTTGGACTACCGCTCTCTTTTTGGGCCGTAGTATCTTGATTTGTTTTGCCAGGAAAGCTCCGTGCTTTTGAGGGATGCCTGCCATTCCTAATATGTTGGAGCGCCTTCAATTTCGTATGATACCGTGCAATACCTCTGGTGTGAAATAGTTGCTTCAAGCGCCGTGGTACGCTGCGGCGGGCGGGCAGCTAGCGCAAAACGCGCATTGGCGCCTACAAACCTAACAGGGATACTTCACGCATTGCGCAATGCGTGAAGTATGCCTGTTAGGTTTGTAGGCGCCGGTGCGCCACCGCTCCGCTTTAAGTTAGGCTCTATTATTTAATCTTGTGGAGTCAGCGTTTTTCAACTCATGAGTTTGAAATTTTTGCACATCCTGTATGGATTATTCTCATTTTAATTGATGAAAAAAAATATGTAGTAAAGGAAAATATAATGTGCGTTCTGTAAATATTAAGGTGATTCCATACAAACTTAAGGATTTACAAAGCACAGGAATTTCTACACAATTTCTTATAGCCTTTTATAGCCGATGGCGAAAAAGCAACAGCCAGGCGATAAAGTGTAAAGCCTGGCGATAGGAACTATAGCCCGGCCGTATAATTTTTTATCGCTTCGTGTAGCCCGGCCGTTTGATTTTTTCCACTTTCTACAGCCAGCTATATGATTTTCTATCGCCTTCTTCAGTCGGCTACAAGAACTCCAATGGTATTTTGAAACGCAGCTCCTATCGCCAATTTTTACCAGGGTAACGTGGGAGCAATTTTGAACTCTAAGTTTTGACAAGAATGTTGATTTCACCTCACTTCACAAAAAGCAAGCACCTCTTGCTAATGAACGGTCGTTTTTATAGGTGTCATCTTGTGTCTTTTTGCTGTCTAGAAGTACCTACCTACTCACTTATTTTATTTTCCCCTCTAAACTTTGAAGATACTCTTGTGTTATCATCCCAATCATTCCTTTAAAATGTCTTATCCCCCCCTCCCCCCCCCAAAAAAAAAATGTGAATTAAAGGGCTTGAAGGTCTAGGTGCATAGTGCTTTCAATTAAAACTAATCTTGAAAATGCGATAAATTCGCCGGTAAAATCCAATTTTTAAGCATTAAAATGTGAGTTTAATCTTTCTTTCCGCTGTAAGGCTCTATGTAATTTTGAAACTTTAAACATGCATTTCTTAATATGGCAAAAATGCACTTATGTGCCTTATCCTCCAAGCCCTTCAATGGAGATGTTACATGTGTGGGGAATTTGCGATTTGACCATTGATTCTCATGTAAAAGTTCGCGAGAAACACGATGGTGCCACTGGTTTTCTCTGAAATCAACTCCCAAGCTCAAAAAGAGTTCCTAAGTTGAGGCCAAAATGGAGGGGATATCCTGCGCTATCCTGAGAGTCCACCTCTATATCAAGACGAACTCTCCATAGAAAAATAGGGAGCAAATACATCGACAGGGCTGCCGCTTTATTTGGGGACTCCACGACTAAAAACTTTGCATCCCTGCCAATGTATTTGCTCCCTATCTTTGCATGGAGAGTTTGTCTTGATGTAGAGGTGGACTCTCAGGATAGCGTGGGATATCCCCTCCATTTTGGCCTTAACTTGAGAGCGTTTTTTGAGCTTGGGAGTTGATTTCAGAGAAAACCAGTGGCATCATCGTGTTTCTCGTGAACTTTTACATAAGAATCAATAATCAAACCGCAAATTCCTCACACATGCAACATCTCCCTTGTTGGAGTATTTCCAAAATACCAGAATCTCTGTCCTACAGAATTTTAAATTGACTTGAGAAGGATATTTTATCGCTCACTACCTGATTTAGGTTCACCCTACATTCTAATGCTCATTTTTTATCCTCCCTTGCAGGGAAAGATGACAAAGGTTGGAGTATGTACATAGACAAACAGCGGTCGTGGTTGATGCATGACAACGCACATGGTGGCCGTTGTGAAGGTGGGATCCAAGCAGGGTCGACAGTTGGAGTTTTATTGGATCTCGACAGGCATCAACTAAGTTTTTATGTCAATGAAGAGCTCCAGGTAAAGTTAATTAAACTTGAATGACTCAGTGAAATTTTGCTAAGTAGAATTTTCGAGGGACCAAGAAAAATTTCGACTTAAGCGGCTTTTCATCCTATCCGCTTTACCGGTGAAAGCTCAAAAGCAGCTGCGGCTTTTCATCCTATCCGCTTTACCGGTGAAAGCTCAAAAGCAGCTGGAAAATTCGAGCTAAGCTATTTCAAGTCACTCATGAGTGATTTTTTGTGTAAATTTTCAAAAATTTTACATTTTAAAAGTATTATGAAGTCAATCACATTATAGAAAGAAAAAAAGAGGGTAAAAAATCAAGACTATAATGAAGCCCTGAATCGTAATTTTGTCTCAGCATAGAGTGTGAAGGTCCCAAGTAGCATGATGCAATGAAAGTATTGAATTAAAACTGCGATCTAATTAAATCAAATCACAATTCTTTTTTACCTTGAATTAGCAATATTACTTCATTTGGTCAGTGAATGCCAATTTTTAGCAATCAACAGAAGAGTTTTGTTTGTCCGAAAGATAGTAATTTTGCAATGCAATGAAGAATGGCAACTTATCTCAAAATTATTGCAATAAACTTCAAAAAGAGGTATTCTTTCAATCGGCAAGTAGGCATACACAACTTTCTGATAGGTAATTATAGTACTTAGCAATAATTTTACCATCCTCTTGCAATGTATTGCAATCTTTGCTACTTTGGGTTTAAGGCCATGCACTGGTATGGTCTTACTGTGTACCTGTAATCGCTTTTTGAAAATTTAGGTAACCATAGAGCTGTTTTTTCATTTTTCTAGGGAGGAGTTGCATTCCATGATCTGTTTGGAGTATTTTATCCAGCTATCAGCATCAACAGAGGTGTCACAGTCACATTACACACAGCTATTGAAGCCCCATCGGATTCAGAAGAAATGTAGACTGATCCAATGATACCTACAATTTTTAACAAGTAAGAATCGCATAAATTTTCCTCACAAAAAGTAGTTCCTCTTATGGTCAATATTTTTGCAAGAGAACTGAATAAAGTAATGCCTTGAAACTCTGTATGCAAGAAAAGTTTTCTGTGAGCAAGAAATTGGGTAATCGAATGCTATTTGACTGTTTCTGATAAAGTCTGTATTTATGATAAGTCCAGAGTTTTTTGTGCTGTCCACACGGGGTTTTCAAAAAGTCATGCTTGAGAATGAAACGAGGGAGACATATCCACAAAGGTAGCCATTCAATGAGTGTTATTACCGGAGCAAGGCTTAGATGATAGTGCCAAAAAATATTTTTCGCCAAGTGAAGATACTAATTTTTTTTTTCTTTTTTTTTCTTTCCTTGTTGTGAAGAAAAAGCACCATGATAATACTTCAAGTTTTCTGGAGGATCACCGTAGATAGTGGTGGTTAAATATATAATGTTCTAGGATTGTTCACTTGATAAGGAACCTCAGTACTCACCGAGGAACAGCAAAATTAAGAAATTGCGGCAATTCTTGACCGAAATGTCACAAGGGTCCTATGCAGTTCGGTACTATTTTGTCAAACTTCTCAATTTTTCATGGAAAACTAACAAACAGAATCACTCAGGGTTGCCACGGTCAGGGAAATCTGGGAAATGTCTGGGACACTTAACCTTGAGATGTCAGAAAATAAGTCACCTTTATTTGCTTTCTAGAATGGATTTGACGTCTCTAAGAACACATTTTTTGTGAAAACTATTTCAAATTATGTCTTTTTACCCATGCGGCGTATCTGTATCTGTCAAGGAATTTAACCATTTGACAGAGGAGTCAGGGAATTTCATTTTTAAATTCTGTGGCAACCGTACATACAATTTTTATTGGCTATTTGTTTGTAATTATAATTAATGTTTTCTGTTTTTTTCCAGGGTGCTGTCCTCAGAACTGATCCTAATAATGATAGTGAGCTTCGCCCGTCTGATCATTAGTGTTTAGCTCTTATTCGGCTTTCTTCTCTCCTTCTGAAAGTCAAAAACTATCTCGAGAAGTCTGATTTTCCCCCCGGGTTGTATATTACTAAATTTCCTGTACTGCAATTTAATTTGATCTTTATGTACATTTGTCAAAATTGAGTTACTACACAAAGGAGAAACCGTGGAGAAAGAAACACTGAATATGTGGCCTGAATCTTGTAAGTAACTGTACGCTGTGTCCACACTAATCCGCCTTGAAGTCAGAGCGGAAAAATTCAGAAATTTGAATCAGAGTCACAAAAATAACTCTTAATAAAGAAACTTTGTATTTTGTCTATTTTTAGCCGCTCAATTGACACATTTATGTCAATCTGGTTTTAAGGACTTCTGTTTTTTTTTTTTTTTTTTTTTTTTTTTTTTTAAAATAAATTTAAACAAATTTCTCTTTTTACCTTTTTAAAAATTGTCTCCTTTTTTTTCTAGTAATGTAGGGCTCAGCAGTTTTTGTGCTTCAAACTAGCCTTTTGAAAAAAAAATTACTTAAGTCATTTATTTGAATTTTTTGAAAACATGCCTTTTTTTGGAGAAATTTTCAATGAGAGAAATTGAATCTCTTACTCAAGCAGTAAATTTTTTTATTTAAAATATGCATAGTTTGAAAATTTTAAGTCTCTGTGCTCTAAGAGAAGTAGTTTTGTAATCTGAAAAACCTTCAGTATAACTGTTTTCCTAATCATTAAATTATTAAGATTGCTCTCTGTAGGCAATGCAGTGTGTCCTTTATGTAACCATCAAGAACTATACCTCCCTAAGATAATAATAACCTCTACCTGGTGTCATAACTCAGTTAATTAAAGCAGTTGTGTCTCTTGTATAGTTTATTTTATAAGACCCATATTTAAGAATAATGCATAACTTCTGATACTTTTGTACAATTTTTTAGTAATAACTCTCAAAACTTATTTTCTAGTCATACGTCTAATAAGTTTATATTTTGCATGATTTTGTGAAAAAGTTGTAAGTAGTCATGTCACTTTCATACGATTTTTTTTAATGATACAATGAAAAGAAGTAGGTGAATTCCTACATGAGTGAAATCAATAATAAGGTTTTTAGTTGAAACCGAATTTCGAAGTAATTCACTAAACAATCAGGAAATTAGCAGGTAGATCAGTCTGCTAAGCTGCCTTTGTGTTTGAAATAATATGACCTTCGTACTCTGAAAGTAGTTCAAAATATAAGCTGATTTTCAGTCAGTTTCTCAGAAGGGAAAGTAGGCATCTTTTGATTTGAGTGGCAATTGAAATAATTTCAATTGGGGTACATGTCACTTTTCCAGGTGTCAGCCGATGGACTGTCAACTATTACAACTCTTTAAGGTCCCAAACCTAAGAGATAAAGCTGTTTTATACTATGGTCATTTCAGGCATTTTTAATGCCAATCTTCAGGTCAAAAGTTTCAACGCAAAGATTCTTCTGCCAACTGTTAAAATATGAAAATAAAAGTAAAAACGTGCGGTCATCTGATAGTGATAGGTTGATAGGTATTCCCATCAGTCAACTGGGTGCTTATAATTTTCATACTTACTTTATGGTATTTTTGTCAAACTTTCACTTGAAGATGCGAAATTCAAATGCCTGAGGTGGCCATCATATAAGTCATGCTACCAGTCTTATCAAAAGAATGATGTTTCTCTTTAATGACATTGAGATAAGAATCAATCAATGTTCTGTTCCTATAGTCCGTGCAAACCTATTAGACAGAGTGAAAATTCGGGCATTTTTGGGCGAGCCGAGAATTGCAACGTCGGATCCCTGCGAGGAGCCGCTGGGTCAGCGCTGAGCTCACCGGGGTATTGTTCCCATTGTGTCCACGCCGGGCCTTTACCTGGCGGCCGAACCCTTGTCATTAAGGCCCTCTGGCCACTGGTGGACCAAAAATTGCACACCAATTTTTTTATCATTGGTGAATTTTTCCTTCATTTCAACGGATTCGGATTCAGCTTGCAATCAGGATGAAAAATATATATATATAATTATAGGTAAATATAATGGTAAATTATTGTATTACAAAACTCGCGAATTCCTTCAGTGCTTTCCAAAAACTCCAAAAAATTTCTGTAATACAATAATTTACCATTATATTTACCTATAATTATATATATTTTTCATCAGGATTGCAAGCTGAATCCGAATCCGTTGACATGAGGGAAAAATTCACAAATGATAAAAAAATTGGTGTGCAATTTTTGGTCCACCAGTGGCCAGAGGGCCTTAATGACAAGGGTTCGGCCGCCAGGTAAAGGCCCGGCGTGGACACAATGGGAACAATACCCCGGTGAGCTCAGCGCTGACCCAGCGGCTTCTCGCCGGGATCCGACGTTGCAATTCTCGGCTCGTGATATGCCCGAATTTTTACTCTGTCTAATAGGTTTGCACGGACTATAAAACACATCTTTCTTTTGACAGTTTTTATTTTTCTAACTTTTAGAATTGCCCAAATTTCAGCTCTGGTAAGGAAAACCCACATGATTGATTTTTTAATTAAAGTGGGAGGTACGTAAGTCCTTCCAGGTTTTCAAAATTAGAGTAAGCTCGCAGCTTTGTACCTGATCAAAAAATAGTCTTGTATTAATTGAGCATTTCATTTTTCCACTTTTTTACATTTTTCTACAGACAAAATTATCGAATCAAAACTTGTGGAGAAACAATTGAGCTATTGGTATCATTCTCAAGAATTTCACTCTGCTGATTTAAAATCCAAGAAATTATCCAAAGTAAACTTAGTTGTTTGGTTGTATTTGTTCATGTACTTTCAAACAATAAGTAGAGATAGAGGTGTCACTATGTTTTCAAGTTCTGTACTTAACCATACTAAGTGACTTCAGTCGCACTCCTTCAACCGTTTTGAATTTTCTAATCTTACGAAAATGTTTTGAACATAAATTTCAATAACATCTTTTTAAATACCTTATATTTTGTTCAACAATTTTCCAAATTAAGTCATCCTGAGGCATGTTAATTGGACCACGTCAAGCAGAAAGGAACCAAGCCACATCAGCTATTGTCTAATTTAATTGGGAGATTTAATTTTTTACATGAAACGGGTTGTATGGAAAGTTGTGCAACTGATTGGTTGTGCAAACAGTGAATTTTCTGCTGTGTACGAAGCTAATTCTGAAACATTTTCAAAAGAATACGCACAAACGTTATCTTGTAAAAAATTAAATTGCCCAGTTAAATTAGGCAACAGTTGATGCGGCTGGATTCCTTTCTGCTAAACGCAACCCAATTCTATTTATATTCCCTATCATTCTGCAGTGTACCTAATAGGTTATTTTGATGGTAAAACTGTCAAACGTTTGCCGTTTTTGAAAATCTCCTCTCCTTTATATTTTTTCCGAGGAGAACAATTTAACATCATTCCTCGAATTTTTTTCAGAATTTGTCTCGCATGGAGAGGAAAAATCATGGAAGAGTTTAAGAATTGACGTTGTGTAGTTCTCCATCTGAATAATAAAGTATGACAGGAAATCTACAACGTTGCAAACTGAGATACGTCGTTTGGGAGCCGTCAATATGGATGCAAAATTTGATTGTGAAAGTATTTGAAATATCTCCAAATTTACACCCTGTATGAAGATGCAAAATTTAAGGAAAGAAAATTAATTGCAGTTTTCCCCTGGTTAAACTCTTGAAGTTATCCCAAATTATTATGTATGCAAATTTGTAAACATATACCTGACCCACAAAAAAATGAGGTTAAGGGATTTTGAAAAATGTCAAAAATTTTGGATTTTATCAAATGGTCCTTTGACTATGAAATCGTGCTCATGAGCTCTGTAGACCTACCCTAAGTATGTTTTTTTATAGAATTTACAGGTTGAACCGTTAAAAACAGACCACTTTTGTAGCCATTTAATATTTCAGACTGTAAACCTCTGTTATTTTTGTGTTTAAAGTGGTATAGTCTTTGATTGTAGCTCCAAACCAATTTAATATTGTTTTTTTTAAAGATCATGTCCTCAATTCTTGTACGTATAATTGAGAGTGATTTGTTTTCACAGAGTGAGTTGTTGTCTAGTTTTTTATGATCCTCGCTTTTGTTTCTTGGTTCTGCACCTGCAAAACCTCCCCAGATAATTTAAAACCATATCAGTTTATTTTAAATAAAATCTATGATTCTATCATTTGAAGATTTGTCTCATTTCATTTTGCTTCTCCTACCCCTTTTTTCAATTTTTTTTTATGATCTTCTAACTGCAAAATTTACAGCTGGCTAGAAAATTTAACTGCGAGACTGAGTAGGAGATTTTTCCGGACGCAGGTTAGGTTGGCAGTGGCAAGTGAATAAGTATAAATTGTATAATATGTTGCTCCTACAGCACACTTGGCACTCTGCAACACCCAAACGCAACATATGCTTGTCTTCCCAAAGGTCATTGAGCAATTGACATTGTAAAATCACTTCATTGGTGCTAGAAAAATTTTGTCCTGACGAACTGATCACTTGCATCCAGTACCGTTCATATGCACATATGCAGTAAGTCTTTATCAACCGTATGAGGACCACCTTTCGGTTTTTATAGGAAAAGCGTTGACTGTTCTGTTGCAAGGGGTTGTGAAGTACCTACTTATAGTACTTAATGAAGGTAGCAAACTTACACTCTTTTCTTCTCCTCTTCTTTTGTAGTTGTCTATTTGACAGCAAAAATAGAGATAATCTGTGTCAAAACCTGCCTCTCTAAGACCCGGGCTATGACAGGGGCTGTGTTGAAGCAATTCCGGATGACTTTGCTGTACCAACACAACCCACTGCCTCATTACCCAACTCGTCAATTTCAAGCATATAGGTGCGCTTTAAAAACATTCGACCATTGAAAATAATCAGTGTTAGCAAAAACCTACAATATTTAAAACATAACTCTCTAGCCGTTATTACCATTTTTAGGTACTGCTTCAAAAATAGACACTTGCAAACTCGATTTTAGTTTTTCTGGAAAATAATTTTTAACTAAAAAATAGCAATAACAGGAAATTCAGGCAAGGAGCTGCATCAAAGAAAAAATGTATTAATGATATGATTTGCAAAGAGGGCTAGCAAAATCCCTCAAACTCAAATTTTTAGTTCAGCAAATAATAAAAGAAAAAAAAAATGTGGTGAAAAAAATATCAATTTCCAGTCGTCAGTGTTAAACCCCTTTTAATACTTTTCAGAACATTGGGTCGAAACTTCAAGAAATAACTTGCCTCACTAATAATTAATATTATAATCGTTTGAATAAATCGTCGCTGGAATCTTAACGAAAAAATTGTGTCTGTTTTTTTTTTCAAATTCAGTTCAAACAACTACTTGAAGCATACCCTGCAAGAATAGGTAATTTCGTGGAATGTACTAATCCCTAATTGTTGGTCGCCCACTTTTTTTTTCACTTTTAGGGCTCTTTTAGGGGGCTTCTATCTGTAACTAAATCACATTTCTTTGCTGCTTCAACATCTGCTCTTCCGAAATCTGCATATCATTTAAATAGCTAGATTTACTTGCTTTTTCACATTTTGAACCCTGGTAAAAATTGGCGATAAGAGCTGCGTTTCAAAATACCATAGGAATTCTTATAGCCGGCTAAAGAAGGATACAGAAAATAATATAGCTGGCTGTAGAATGCGGATAAAATCATACGGCCGGGCTATATATACGAAGTGATGAAAAATTATGCAGCCGGGCCATAGTTCCTATCGCCGGGCGGCCGGGTTTTACACTTTGTCGCCCGTTCGCCTGGCTGTTGCTTTTTCGCCATCGATTATAAAAGGCTATGAGAAATTGTGTAAAAATTCGTATGCTTTGGAAATCGTTGAATTTGATACGGAACCACCTTAATATTTACAAAACACACGTTATATTTTCCTTTAATACATAATTTTTTTCATCAATTAAAATGAGAATAATCCATACAGGATGTGCAAACATTTCAAACTCATGAGTTGAATATCGCTGACTCCGCCAGATTAAATATTAGAGCATAACTTAAAGCGGAGCGGCGACGCACTGGCGCCTACAAACCTAACTGGGATACTTCACGCATTGCGCAACGCGTGAAGTATCCCTGTTAGGTTTGTAGGCGCCAATGCGCGTTTTACGCTAGCTGCCTGCCCGCCGCAGCGTACCACGGCGCTTGAAGCAACCATTTCACACCAGAGGTATTGCACAGTATCATACGAAACTGAAGGCGCTCTAATATATTAGGAATGGGAGGCATCCATGAAAAGTACGGAGCTTTCCTCGCAAAATAAGTCAAGATACTACGGCTCAAACAGAGAGCAGTAGTCCAAAAACTCACTAAGTCCTAGCATCCGTAATTTGTAACGATTAGCATAATACACTTTATCGCCTTGCTGTTGCTTAATCGCCATCGGCTATAAAAGGCTATAAGAAATTGTGTTGTTGGCTGTAGAAGCTATTTGAAATCTTACAGCCGGCTGTAGATCTATGGTATTTTGGAACACAGATTCAACTGCCAATTTTTACCAGGGAATGTTTGCAAAATCGCATTATTTTCAATGCTGACGATGAGAGAACTGTAACCACATTTGATTGAAGTATTCCTTTACATGTAACTGAAATTGTTCAGCGATGATTCATCTCGCGCTATTCCGCCTTCAATTTTGCGTACGCAACGCGAACATCCACTAAGTATGAATAGTTGTATCACTTCCTGCTAAACATTTCTCATGGGAATTGAGGACACCGCACCAAGAAGAGCCTATAGGGCGTAGGTTGATTTAAATTTCTGACCGAACTGTTTTCTAACGCTTCAATCAAATAAAACACAAATTTATTGAGTCGCATTAGCTCGTAAAATCAGTCATTCTATTGATTTTGTGCTCCAATTTCTTGCGAAACTACAAACCTGATATCAAAACTTGGCTGTTTTGAAAACGCCTTCAAATGCGGCGTGATGTCTCACGCATTCCGGAGAGTTCAAATAGTTGTATCATTGCGCCTTAGAAATGCGACGGCAGATTTCAATTGAAATAGCCTCCATACACGCTAGTCCCGTCGATTTCCTTTGACATTTTAGTAGTCGTGAATGCATAGCTAAAATGCGCTCCAGCCAGAAGTGTATTCAGCAAATGAGTAGCTTTTATAGGAGGATTGAAAACAAACAAATGGTAGGAAATGAAACATAATAATAAGAACTTTGCAAAACGATAATCCGGGTATCGGAACTTGGCTGTTTTGAAAACGCCTTCAAATGCGGCGTGATACCTCACGCATTCCGGAGAGTTCAAATAGTTGTATCATTGCGCCGTAAGAATGTGACGGAAGATTACAATTGAGGACACCGCACCAAGAAGAGCCTATAGGCGTATAGGTCGTTATAACGCCCATCTGCTTTTCGGATTCTACATACCCTGGACTATGCTGTGGTAGCGATAGAATGTAGATAGGTAACGGCTCGAGGTCGAAAAACCTTTTTTTTCCGAGTTAAGTCAGGCCTCTGGATCGATTAGTGCAAGAACGACCTATAAACGGGCCTATAAGGTGCTAGTTACCCCTTCCTTTACTCGCTATCGATATTCTTTCATTTTGCGTTAATCATGCGTGATTAAAATTAATTATACTTCATATTGCCACCAAAATGACTGTTGGGCGTAAAAATGACCTATAAACCGCTTTTTTAAATTAAATATATGAGAGTATAAACCCAAAATGTATCGCAAAATCTACCCGGCATCCTTCAATAGAAGGGTTAGGTTACCCAAAAACACCAAAACAGGGTACCTGCATAGAAAAGTCTGCGCAGTACATCAAAAACAAAACTTTAAATGCGTTTTTCTCAAAACGCGGTTTCCAGTTATAGGCTGTTCTTGGTGCGGTGTCCTCAATTTCAATCAGACTGTTTTAGGCAGGGGAATAATTCTCCTTAGAAGTGCCTCCCATGGGAAGTGGCTTAAATGGGAAGCTTCCCAATCCGTGCCCAAAATGCCATCTCTTCTAGCAGATCCATAGAAGAAAAAGATTAAGGTGATTCGATGGACGCTATATTTTGTGTCAGGACGGCATGCGGTATATCGCATCAATTGGTTCTATTTTTTCAGCTACTCGTCATTTTTCTCCAATTTTGAGATCGCAATTCTGTTGTCAGGAGACTAAAGCACTCACTCACCAATTTTAACAAAGAAATTCAACTTAATAAAGGCGTGGTTTTTTTAGAGAGAAAACATCGCATTCGATACTGATATCGAAACTGCACTCGAATGCGATATTTTCTCTCTGAAAAAACCACGCCTTTGTTACGTTGAATTTCTTCGTTAAAATTGGTAAGTGAGTGCTTTAGTCTCCTGACAACAGAATTGCGATCTCAAAATTGGAGAAAAATGACGAGTAGCTGAAAAAATGGCGCGACGTTACTTAACCCCCTGATCACCCATGTGCCGCTGCCATGGAGCTCCGGAGGCTCGCGTCTTCATTAAATGAATGAATCGAATAAAAAAAAATACATAGTTATGAAGCGAAGAAAAATAAATGAATGAAATTGAATAGAATAAAATAAAAAACGAATAAATACATAATATAAATTAACGTAAATAAAATAAAATATATTAAAAATAAAAAAATTGGATTAAACGAGCCAGGCTAGAACCCTTGGGGAGTCAAGGGAAAGAAATTTGTGGCGGAATACCGGGCATCTTGTCGTGGGTCGCAGGCTCGGACTGGCCATAAGGCCAAACTGCCATTGGCAGATACGCCTTCTTGGCGCGGAAAAAAATGCGCCCCTCTGACAGATAGCAAAATAAGGAGAGGAAAAAAAATTACGACCGAGAATATATGCGGAAAATTTCTTGAATTAACGGAAGAAGAGAGAGTTAGGAGTGAGGAGAGGTGCTTTTACGTATAGTGGTGAACAGAGGTCCAAGAACTACGTTCTGAAGCGTAAACACTTTTCTGTGAAATTGTCACCTTTTTGTTGACATGTAGGCGCTTTATCATCCCCCTCCTTCATTCTCTATGTGTAAATCCCGTAGAAGCGATAGCCGGTTCGATTTTCAGACATACGCACACTTTATAGACCTTTTAAGAGACCTTTAAACATATTTCTTACTTTTCAAAATGACTATTGATTTGGACATATCATAGCATATCTCGGGCAAACTTAACCTTAATTTATTTCGAAATTCAATAGTAAGAGGCATCTAAAGTGTAAACGCGATACAACTATTCTTGCAAGATAGATTTCCACATTGCATATGAAAAATGTAAGACGCGATGGCGCGAGTCGATAACTCGCAATGCTCTGCTCTAGTTTAAAGCAACATTACAAATAAGACAAACAGAAACAAACGCAACATGGAAATAAAGCGAGGGAAAGGATGCGTGTTAACGACGGCGCAGAGATACAACTATTCGTACTTGATGGACGTCCGTGCTGCATCTGAAAAATTGAAGGCGCGATGACACGAGGCGTGAGTTCTCAATGCCCTGCTATATGCTGCCAATGAGGTATCGCTCAGATTCGGGAGAAAAGTTAAAAAAGAGGCCCGAATACGTCTTTCTTGTCGTAGGTTGTGTTTATACTCGTTCTTTCTTCTTTTTACAGGTTCTTGCCTGATTCTTTTTTAGGATGAATTTTTAGACTCACGTCTTAAGCTTGTGTAAACCGCAGCACTGATACGGTTCTTATGGAAATAATGGTTCTTAGATGCGTCTAGTGGCTATAATATTTTTGTTTTCTTTAATTTCAGAAGTCTGTCGGTCACTTCAATACGTTCAATTTTATAATTTATACTCTGCACGATTAATAAAGTTTGAACCTGAAAATAGCGTAAACTTGTGCTACTTTGCCAAAATTTTCTGAGCCCCTCTCCACGAAGGGGATGCCCCATCAAGAAATATCACATTACGCCCCTTTAACCAGCCAAGGGTCTACGCTACGCCCTCAGATGCGAGCCAGTCCCGACCCTGGTGGGTCGTCTCAAAAGTCAATGAGCTTTCTCAAAATAGGTGAAAAACATGTTATAGTTAAGGAATTCGAATTCTGAATTACTTCGACCCTGTGCCGTTCATCTTAATGCATGTTCCCTTGTTGGATTTGTGCTCTTGTTCTCCCGGCCAAGCTTTGAGGCATTGAAAATTTTCTTCGATCATAGTTTTGGAAAAGGGGATGATGAACATCAATAAGTGAGGAAATCAAAATAGCTCTCGAACTTTTGTCCGGTGACAAAATACATATGCATAAAGTTTTTAAGATTGGTTAAAAATTCTTTCCTTCGAAATTCTCACCTTTGTGATAACATAGAGACGCTTTATCAACCCCCTTCCTCATCCGCCACGTGTCACTCGCTCAGAGGAGGATGTACAGTCAGTTTTTAGACGTATGCGCCCTTTTGATCGCTTGAGAGACCTCTAACATTTTTTTTCTTTTCACAGTGATAATTGATTAGGACACATCCTATTTTCGGCTGTATTGCTCAAGTAGTCCTTGAAGCATCCCTGCAAATGAGACAAACGGAACTAACATAATATGGAAATAGAGCAAATGGAAAGACAGCGCAGATACAACTATTCGTGCTTGATGGATGTCTGTGTTGCATCTGCAAAATTGAAGGAGCGATGGCGCCAGCTGTGAATTCGCAATGTTCCGCGGCTCCGCTTTATGCTGCCAGTGCGGTGTCGTGAGAAAAGTTAAGAAACGAAGCTCCATTATTACGGCTCTCCTATTTTCGGCTGTGTTGCTCATACAGGCTTTAAAGCACCGCTAAAAATACGAAAAAGACAAACCGAAACGAACACAGTATGGAAATAGAGCAAAGTAAAAAGAGGCGCGTTGATGACGGCGCAGAGATACAACTATTCGTACATAATGGATGTCTGTCTTGCATCTTCAAAATTGAAGGCGCGATGGCGCTACGCGTGAACTCGCAATGCTCCTTTCTAGGCTGCCAGTGAGGTGTCGCTCAGATTCGAGAGAAAAATTTAAAATGCCTGATTACGTCTCGACTCTGTTGTTCCTTAATTTTTTCTTCTTTTTTCAATTTGAGGTTTGATTCTTTTTTGAATGCACAAATATTTACAAACCCACATCTACAGCTTGTATACGAACCGCGGTCCCCCACAACTCGCGTGACTAGTTTTTTAAACAAGTCTCCTATCAATTTGACCGGGCTTCAGCATCTAAGGGCTAATGAAAATATCATTAAAATATGACTCCACTTTGTTCGCCAAAAACTCTGGATTCACGAGGGGAGCCAAGAGAAGCCATTCACAAGCAATCAGTGAGTTTTAATAAAATTAAGTTATGTGTAATCTTGCAAAATTAGGCTTCAAATGTTCAGTGACGTCCCAAATGGCGTCTCGTTCTCTGGATAGGAAATGTAAAATAGGAAATTTTTTGGCAAATCCCGAATGCTGGCACCCCGGATTTACCTACTTGCCGCCCATGGGCCGCCTGTATTTTGCTGCCCTCTTCTCATTCATGTTGAAACATCAATAAAAACCATCAAGTGAACGTGCCGGAGGGAGAAGGGTGCATAAGACGCGTTCATTCGTGTTGGACACATTTTTTGCGTAAGCCCTGTCAACACTACTAGCAAAAGTTCACGGAACTTCGCGCGAAATTTCAGTTCCGTAAACCTATCTCTGTGGGGACAAGGCCTTTCATTTGTAAGAGATGAACTAAAAAATTAAGAAAGAACAAACATAAATGTAGTTTAATAATTTTAACTTACGCCGTCGTGCCGTGCTGACCACACTGTGTTTGGCGCAATGCGTGAAGTATTCATGTAGTCTTGTAGGCACTGAGCGTTTCACGCCGCGGCCCATGTGGTCACCCCCTTAATCCGGCCCTGCGCCGCAGTTACGCAGCTTGAAATCACCTTGAATATCGACGGTGAAACTACCAAACCACGTATCTCGGTTTGCGACGTCGCAGACTTCCTGTCATACTCTATTTTTTAAATGAAAAACTACTTAACGTCCAGTCTTGAAAATTTCTGTGATTTTTCCTCTTCGTGCGGAGAAAATTCTGTGAAAATTTCAAGGAATGATATCGATTTGGTCTACCTCAAAAAAATAAAATGCGAGCGTAGATTTTTAAACACCGCAAACGAGATACGTGGTTTGGTAGTTTCACCGTCGGTATCTCGTTTGCGGTGTTTAAAAATCTACGCTCACATTTTATTTTTTTGAAGTAGACCAAATCAATATCATCCCTTGAAATTTTCACGGAATTTTTTCCGCACCAAGAGGAAAAATCACAGATTTTTTCAAGACTGGATGTTAAGTAGTTTTTCATTTAAAAAATGAAGTATGACAGGAAGTCTGCGACGTCGCAAATCGAGATACGCGATTTGGTAGTTTCACCGTCGATATGGGTCATTTGACCCAAGTCCCGAGTTTGCGTTGAAAGAATCTTAGGCATCCAAGGTTAAAAGCACCGCGTTTTTAAATCTCCCGGTTTGATGCCCCGCTCGGGTGGTGACAGCCAATGGCCAATCAGTTTTCTTTATTTGTCGGTGATAACCAAAGATATTTGGTGATCACTATAAACCGGTGTGCCTATTTAAAGGTTAAGTCTTTGTGTACTTTGTATGGTAATTTTCTAAATCTAAGTCCCAAATTTTTTAGTGACTTTCATCACCGACAATTTACTCCCACAATGGCAAAACCTGCTCATCCTGTGCTGTCTGAAGAAGAGCTCGGCAAGCAATGGGACAAATGTATCTACAACGGAATGGTCAAAATGGGTAAGCTCTAATCGTCTCTTGTAACTCTGAACTGAATAGTGTCAGTCGATAAGTCAAACGTTTGGTCATATGAAGCTATGCGTTCATTGACATTAAACTGGTCCTCAGCTCTGCATGCTTTAAAAATTCAATCATCCTCACCACCACGTTGGAGACTCCTCAGATTTCAAAAGTCTGGAAGCCAATTGACTCGTACTTGCGATTTGACAGAAACACTTCAGTGTGCAAACTGCAAGTGTCAAAATCCTGAATTCTTGAGACATTTTTTGAAAGACCAACATTCTCTAAATGAGCTAATTGAATAGAACAGTCCCTTCTCTTAATTATTCTGAATGAGCTTCATTTTGACGTTATTTGTTCTTGTTGAATTGAAACTGTATGGCACAATCAACAACAGTACTTAGATCTGCCGTCTCACTTCAAAATTAGGCCAATTTTTTTTTACATAATCTCTATAAATTAATTAGATAGCTCATTACCATGTAACTGCTCAATAATCTCTAATTATTCTGTGGTTCTTTGAAACATCTAATTTTTACTGGTTTGACATGGTTAGCACCCTGAAAGTTAGTACCCTAAATTTTGTCCGTGTTTACAGGTGGAGGATTGGCTGTGGGATTAGTAGCTTCACTGTTGATCTACAAAAGTAAAGGTAAAGTATAAAGTCATTTATTTCTGTATCGACCAATACTTAAACTAATTTCAGCCCTTTTAATGTTTTTTTGGGGCAGAAAAGTGAAGAAATTGCATGACAAAATTCTAATATCGATACTCAAAGTGAGGAACCACGCATCTCCATTTGCGACGTTGTAGCCCTCCTGCCATACTTTATTTTATTTCATTTTATTTATTTTTATTTTATCGACAGACCAGAAAATGTAATTTTATAAAAACCTTGATTTTTCTCCTCAGTCAGGTAGTAGAATATTCTGTAAAAATTTCAACCCATGAAATTGGCCTGCTTCTTTTTGAAAAAATAAAATAGGAGCGGACATGTACAAATACTGCAATGGAAATGTGTGGTTTTGCACTTTGGCTATTGATATGTATCGGTACAAGACTGGGAGGGAGAGCGTCAAGCCAAGAAAGGTGAACTGAAATTGCCATCCAGGGTTGATGGTTGAATCGTTATTGAATGAGTTCGATCGATAACTCCCTATCTTCACAATGGTATGTACCAATCAAGGTCATTCAATAACGATTCAACAATTGACCTGCTGCAGGCTGATTATTGAAATTGATAGACAAAGCTATGAACAAAAAAATCAAAAGGTATATGAAGATATCCTATTGTTGGAAGCGGGTGGTTGCAATGGACAAACGAGGTAGGTAATAGACTAATAAACGGCAACCTACAAGAGACCCAATAGTTAGTCCATCATTTTCTCCCTTAGTCTATAGGAACCACCTATTTCAACCGTTAGAATTGCTCCGTACTCCCTATGTCTTCTTTGTCTATCAATTTCAATGATCAGCCCGCTGAGTCCCAACCATGGACTGCCATCAATTTTTCTCTTACTCAAGTACATCAGGCAGTAAGAGCGGAATATAATCTCAGTCAGGCACCTCTCTACACTAAGAACAGTATTAGATCGCTGTTATTGCACTGTGAGAGGAGGAACTGAAGTGTGATTCTTGTGTCATCTGCACTCGGGCTGCTGGAAAACTTGCAGAACCAAGAAAATTTCCTCCAGAATGTTCGGAGTCAGCCCTGTCATCTTATCATTATTATTTATTTCTTATTGCAGCAAAACGATGGCCACTCATTCTGGGCACTGGATTTGGTCTTGGCTTTGCATATGCCCAATGTCAGAAAGACTTGAATGAGACCCTCAAGCCCAAAATGGGACAAAAGGTAAGATTATTTCAAAACTTTTCCTCGCATTTTAGCTTTTTCTGAAGAAAAAGTGGATTACATCTTGCAATAAGGAACCACTATCTCTGGCTCTTCCATAAAGCTACGGAACCTTAGGCGCGTCTGTCTGCGGCGTCCTGGACGCTGGCGGAAAACTCTGCTACCGAGTCGAGGGCGAGAAGACGCTCACATTTTGGAGCACGGCACCTTAGGAGCGGAATTCGTGGATTTTTTCCGCTCTGTCCGCTGTCAATTTTTCGAATTTTCGTTGATCGGGCAGTGTGCTTTGAGCCACCACAATGGCCGGACGCGCTTTTTTTTAGGAAGGTGTGGATTCGATCGACAAGAATCGACCGTAAAATAAAAACGTGAATCGATTGACACCGATTCGATGGAAAAATTATGAAAAAACCGGTGTCGATTCGATCGACATGAATCGACCGGAAAAAACGTGAATCGATCGACGAGAAAGGATTGACAATTGATTTTAAAAAAAAACCGGTATCAAGTCAATCGACATGAATCGATCGAAAAACCAAAACGTGAACCGATCGACGTAATTCGATCGACTCCCAGCTTGGTCGATCGATTCACGGGTTTGTCGATCAACTCACAGGTTTGTCGATCGACTCATAGGTTTGTCGATCGATTCACAGGTTTGTCGATAGACTCATAGGTTTGTCGATCGATTTACGGTTTTTGTCGATCGATTCACGAGTGGGTCGATCGATTCACGGCTCTTGTCAATTGATTCACGGAATTTTCGATCGGTTCACGGCTTTTGTCGATCAATTCACGGCTTTTGTCGATCAATTCACGGCTTTTGTCGATCAATTCACGGCTTTTGTGATCGATTCGTGGGATTGTCGAACTAAACACATTCAAAAATGGGTAGGAAAGGCAGCGGACTGAGCGGAATTTGTCGGCGTCTTCGCTCCGACCTGTTGGCGACAGATCGGAGCGTCCTCCATCGGCGTTTACTGCAGCGTCTCTCAGCCGCTAAGGTGCCGTCCCCACGCAAAATCATCAGACAGATTTATCGGCGTCCAGGACGCCGCGCCTAAGGTTCCGTACCTTTAAACCACGTATCTGCATAGGGAAATCAATGGCATATATGTTGTTTCTAAAATGAGCCAGAAATAGTGGTTCCTTGTTGCAAAATGTAATCCAAGTGATAAGTTAGAAAAATGGAATCAAAATGATTTCTTCCTATTTTTTTATTTTTCTTTCTGATATCTCTTTTTAAGCAGGGTTGCTGAATAGCTAAAATTGTTTGGGAATTTGTTGATACAGAAATTATGGCAACCATGCTTCAATTACCATCAATTTTCTATCTAGAAACCGGAAACAAGAGACCCTCCACTGGCCTCTTGGCGATAGGTGGAAGCTTTTACTTTCGGAGATTCAACAATTCCTAATGGACAATTACGAAGGAGGAATAGTCATTACTCTTATTTCAGCTGTTGACCTACCTACATGGTAGATGATGAGCCTAGGGGGACGTCATGCGCCAAACAAGTTTCCCAAACTTCCACTTGTTTGCAAAACGAAACTCCCAACACATTCTGAAGGTGAATCCAGGCTTCGAACTTTGCAATTTGGCCACCATGTTGCACTGCTCAGAATAGCCAGATATATTTGCCAAAATACTAAAAACCGTAATACTTATTCGAGATTGGGGATATAGCAACATACTTGAGGAACATCCAGTAAAAAAATATTTTTAAAATTCCCAAAAATAAAGTCGTAACAACAGCAAAAAGTGATTCCCATTGCGGCAATGGGAGAGAGAGAGACAGAACATGAGGGATTCCGTTTTGCGCTCAGCCGCCGCCGCTGAGCTGAAAGTTTCAGCCGTACTCTCTCTGCGCTTGTAATTCTAATTGCCAAAATTTTTGGCCCAAAAAATAATCTATATCTTGTGGATCTGCTTTTTGTAATTTGAACAATATTATTTCAGTAATCGTCAAAGGAAAGTGAAATTCTCAATGGTGACTGGTGGCGCTATCTCAAATCTTGAATTATCCCTATTCAAACCCTGGATTCTTCTTAACTATCAACCATGTAGGTAGGTCAACAGTAGGATGTTGAAGTCCCGAAAGTAAAAGCTTCCACCACTGCCAAATGCTTCCGGAGGGTCTTTTGTCTCTGCTAGAAATTTACCTCATCCAAGAGAATAAATCTATTCTGTTTGTTTTCTTCTTTCAGGTTGCCAACGCGTAAATATTTTCCTGCTAGTCTCAAAATTTACCTTAGCTGCATATAACATCAGTAGCATGGAGGAGAAAGATTTAACTGGTCAAGGATGTGGTCTACCTTACTTACACGTAGTCACTTCATGTAAATAATTAGTTGTAACCAATTTTTTTCAATCTGTTGATTCGTCACTTAGAACTCCATCTTCTTATTTGTCCATGGATATGCAGTACAAATCTCAGCAGAGTAAGTAACCAGCAGAAGTTTCAACCTTGGAATTCTTATGCAGGTCAATGTAAACATTTTAAGGAATTTTCTGCATTTTCTCTGTTTTTTTTCAATCTGGTCTTCTCTTTCTCATAATTATTTATCTTTCACTCCCAACCGGACCGGATACATTTACACAAAAGCATTTGTTAAATTCATCGTCCTCTGTGCCTCTGTGCAGAGGAACACAATTTGATTGTGCTGTCTCAGTATTTCTCACTCTCGTTTTATTTAGTTTATTGAAGAACCGTCACATGAGTTTTTCTGAAATTTCCAGTCATTTTTTTCCACCCTTGGAAAAAGAGACTCCGAAATTTTCAGACTGATGCGTGCAATGATTCTCCCATGAAAAATTAAAATGTTTGTAGAAATACTGAAACAGTGCAGACAAGATACGTTTTTTTGCGTCAGAGATGAAAAATTGTATTTAAATCCATGAAAGCGAAAATTAAGTTGTTGACCTCTCTATGCTACTCTTACACGAGTTGTAAATCTCATGTTCTTTACAATTTGCACCAATTTTAAGAGAGGAAATGTAAGTTGCCCCTTCCAATTTTACGGAGACCACTTTTCTTTCATCTTTTTTGGAGTTCAAAGAGAACAAATATTGAGTCTCTTCTTTTGTGAAAGGCAGGATGAGATAAAATATTTCTGTTGAAGACAAGTCTTCTTATTATTATATAGATAATGAGTTCCTGCTTTCTGTCCAAGGGAGAAAAGCTTTTCATTCGAAGCTGGATAATGCTACCGGACATGGGACATTCTTTTTGCATCCAGTAAATCTTACTTTAATGTTTTAAAAACAAATTGTGGAATGTTTCTCCTCACTCAAAAATTTTTCAGGAATCATGGCTAATAAGTTTGAGCAGACTTGTCTTCCTTCTGAACTCTGTGACAGAAATGTTGTTATTGCTTTTTGTTGTAGATTCTAATCACTGTAAGTTTGTATTATTTTTATTGTGTTAATAAACGGTGAAACACAATTGTTGAAGGATGTTGAACTTTTTCGAATCATCAGTTTTTCGTTTTAAATGTTTTCCAAAATTCGGGAGAATATATAACCTATTTATTGATCTGCAGTGCAGTTAAACGGAGAATTTGCAGGTGTCTGAAATTTTGTAAAATCTATGTTTGAAATGAAACTGCCAGGAAAACTGAGCACGAGGATATCCTTGGTTTCTCAATTGAAAAATTATTGGAGGAAATATGACGAAATAACCAAATTTGCCAAAATACATGTGTTTAAATGGAAAATGCCACAAGATGATGTCACGAGGCAGCACATTTGGACATATTCATGCTAAAAGGAACTATGTTGCACACAAATCCTATGCACATAGTTCCTTTCAGCATAAATACATCCATTTTCCTCCAATTTCCCATTTCAGTAAAAACTAATGAAAAATACTGCAAACTCAGCTCATTAAGCACTCTCAGAGGAAACTATAAAATTTGTAAGTGCAAATTCTCCGTTTCTATTATTCACACTCTTAATCCTGATTTAGCTGTAAAAACTTCGCATTTTGGTTTTTGCATCTACATTGATGGTAAAACTATTAAAGCTTGGTTCTCTGTTTTTGCAGATTTCTTAAGATTCTATTTTACAAAAGATGACTGCTCATTTTTATAGCAAAAAACTTTGATCTATTTCTCTTTGCCCACTCATGAATATTTTCTGAAAAATATGTGCCGTGCAATAATGGCTCCTATTATTTTCTGAGATAAATAATGTTGAAAAGGTAAAATTTGGACTGTGACAATCGAGATTCTTATTTTTGTAGTTTTGTTGCAATTTCAATTCTGTTACTTTTCTGTTTCCTTTTTGGAGAAGCCTAAGTGACTCTTAACTTATCTAACTTTCTTCGTACTTAAATGCGAATTTCATTTTTCACATAATAATGGGGGCTTCTAGACAAGGTATGAATCAAAGTATCATGCACCTAAGATGTTTTTTCTTTAAAGGAGGAAAACGAGTCACACTGTGAAAAGTCTTAAAATAATGAATTCCTGAACAATGTAAAAGTGTAAAAATCAATATTGGTTGAATAGCAGAAATATAAATTACATTTATCATTTGTAAGATTTGACTTTCATTTGAACTGTGTGGACATCTTGTCCAGGGGTTAATTTCTGAACTTTGGATTGTGTGAATCGTTTTCCACCTAAGATTTAGAAGAGAAAATATGTGCCGTTTTTATCTATGTAGTTCAGACCTTGTCTAGTGGCACTAGGCTTCTGGACAGGGTAAGGATTCATGCATCACAAAATATATTCCTTTCTCAATATTTCAAGCAGAATAGATAATGAATATTCAAAGTTAATTGATAAACCAGAATTTAGCATTGATTGTTGATATTAATATAAATTGATTCCGACTTTCTTTTCACGCAATGAACCAAAATGTGGGTGAACTCAGCAGTTTAAACCAACCTCATCATTTGAAAAAAAGAGGAAGTTGAGTTTCACAAAACACCTTCTTTCTTTCTTTCATGCAGAGTGCTTATAGACTGGTCACAGAAAATTAAAGATATGAAGAACATTACTTTACTGTGAAGCGCACCCTTAATTAGGTTTAATCCAGTGAGTCAGTGGCGCCTATTTTTCCAATTCATTCTCTTGAAGTACTAATGGGTCAGATGTGCTGGTCTCAGAATTGGGTTTTGATGTTTGCTTATGTCAGATTAGTTAAAAATAATAGGATCTGCCCAAACAGCAACTTTCTGTGTGTTTTAAACTGATTTTTTTATTTTTTTTTATATACCTATAATTTAAAGTGGAAGCAACTACGAGATAGCTGCAGGAATAATATGCCACGGACCGAATAGATTTATGTACCTACACTCTGTATTTTTTACAAGCAAAAAATTTGAATTAACAATGCCATAGAGTGCTCATATTTCATACATAAGTTGATTTTGAAAATTTTTATAAGGTACGCGGTGAAACTTTGATAGCATACATTGCGATGCTCAAATTATGATATTGTCTCGTCATCCTATAAAACTGCAAACAAATGAGTGGCAAATAGTCTTACCAGATGATGTTCAGAGAATTTTCATTCTAAAAATAATTAATAAGAAGGGAAGTAGTTCCTTTGGCACAAATATTTAATAATACCTAGAAAAAAACACAAGTTGTAACAGTACAATGCTTTTCCATAAAAGAAATAAACAAATAAATTAATAACCACAGAATTCCAAAAATTCTTTGTTGCAACATTTAGGAAAGAGGCAAACTTGGCTACAAAACAAAAAAAGGGGGAAAAATATAATTCTGGGTTTTCGATTGAATCAAACATTAGGTACATGTTTTACAAAATAAGAAGATTTCCACAGAGCATGAATTGATCGCTGCAGTTCCAGCTTGGCATTAACATGAGTTCAGAATGTGCCGTTCGAGACACCAGATGTGAAATTTTCTTGGCTACAGTGATGACTGACTTTTCTAGTCTCACAAATGAAAGTGTCATAAACTGGACCAGAAGAGAATACGTAGTTGGTCACAGGTTAGAGGTGCACTGCGGTGTTCAAGTATCTCTTTGAAAAATGAATTTTAAGGTGTAAGAAGAGGAAACAATCTCTATTTTGTAAGCAAATCTATCATGAAGAATAGTAGTCCAAGATCGTACTGAATAAAAAAATTGATGACTTTGTTATTATACTTTCCAGTTCCAAAACGCATCTCAGCACAAAGACCAGTCATAAGATTTAAAATTTAGTGACCAAAGTAAAAATATATAAAGTTTATTTTTGATTTTAAAATCGTCATCTTCTCAAGTTGAAAATAAAACTTGAGAAATTTTGCTTTTTATTCCAATTTTTTATGTCACACTTATACTAGGTACCTACTACCCTCCACTAGCGGAAAAGAGAAATCTTTGCTTGATTGTAGACTTTGATACTTATAATACAAATTAAACTTAATTTAATGATCAGGAAGCAATTCTGACTCAAAATATCAATTGATTTTAAGGACAATCCAATAATATTTCTCCAACGATCAATTTGGTACAAGACACTAATATTTCTGAATGAGAGATCACGGCTGAGATAATAGTGTAACGACAACAGCAAATCAAATGGTCTTTGATAAACTTCATCCATCTACTGAATTTCTTTCTTTTTTTTTGGGGGGGGGGGGGGAGGTGGATAGTATTAAAGCTCTGGTCAATATTACAGACTACGATATGGGTATACAAAATTTAAAAAATTTCCTGACGGAGGTAATGAAGTTAGCTTTAACTCATGATGTCTATTAATATTCTGAATTTTAGTTCTTCTTAAGTTCCGCTTTTTTCTGATTGGTACATTGGTAAAAGGAAATGATGAGTTCAAGAAGATAATACTTTTGAGATCATGAAAATTAAAGGATTGGGGCGTACAGATCCTACGTAAGCAGGTGCAGAGGGAGAGCAACTTATATGTAACAAAAATTCAAATTATTCTTTATACCTAATCATTCTTTATAAAAACATGTTCATGGTAAATAGTGAAGACGCTAAGTGTCTTTCTAAAAATAATATCAAGTTAAGAGTCTGTCTTTAGAAAAAGAAAAAAAAATCGACATAGACATAAAATTTTTGTTTGTCTAAAAGTGTTGATAAATTATATATCAATGGTGAAAGTGCAAATCAACGTATACCTACCCATTGCAATAATTCAAAATATTTGCCCCCATTTTATTTTTGTTTGAAAAGAAACAAGTCGACTATATAGCTTGAAATGTATACAGAACATTCTGCTAACAGGGAATAAAAGTCACCAAAGTTTTCAAGAAATCACATGTTGAGTAGTTTTCCAAAGAAAAAATAAAGCATGTGGGAAGTCTGCAACATCTTAAACGGAGTTACGTCGTTTTACACTTTGGCTATTGATATCTTAAATAATTTTACTTCTCACTCAATTGCCTTTTTTCTCTATTACCAACAACTTAACATAGGTAGGTATAAGAGTCTTTTAGCTTATGACTACAAACATTCGGCTATTTAATAAATAAAATATGTACATAACATCCTTAAAATTATTTTTCCATATTCTATAACAACAAAGGTAAAACATTTTTTATAACTTACTATTATTAACTCAGGACTGCTTAATATAAATAAAAGAAACAGGCCAGGTTAGGGCTCCAAGAGGCTGGTTATTTAAATTCTGTCTTGATCAACGGTACAAAGGTACGGCTTAAGCTGAAATGGAGTTTCATCATTGGTGACTGGTGAGTAATATCTCATGAATTCTTTCTCACATCTCGATTGAAGTGGTTCACATGAAGGTGTTACTCCATCGAAATTTGTTTCAATATTTTCACTGACAGCTCTTTTTCGCACCAATGGACTACAAATAAAAATCTCTCTGGAAATTTTCTGAATTTGGATGTTTGCAACATGGAAATTCTCCCATTTTCCCCTTGTAAAGTCACTCCATATAAAAGAAACTTTCCTCATCAACTTGTAAATGCTGCACTGAATTTACGATCCTACATGAAAAACGATTCGATTGGGTCAGATTTACATAAAACTATTGAAGCCTCTTGGAATAATCGGGAATCAATTGAGAGTCAAACTCAATAAAAGCTTCATAAATAACTTTAAAGAGTCACTAGCGTAACTTTCTTTGGGCTCAGTCGAATCTTGATCCCATTGACTAAGACATAATTTGAATAATTACCCTGGTGGAAAACAAATGTGACCGTCTATCCGAAAAGCAACCTTAGTGTACCTCCTTACAAAAAGAGAGTTTTTTTGGCAAGTTGAGCTGAAAACTTGAAATTTGAGTTTTCAATGGAAATGTTCCTCTCAATGCTTCTCAAAAGAATACTTTTAGTGCAGTATGCTTGCTTTATAGTTGTGCTCGCGAAGGGCGTATTTGGATCCAACCGTTTCAGCCCCAAAAATGGAAGATAAAACTGTAGGTAAATTGCTTTTTCTCAACGATAAATTTTTGGAACTGTAAATTTCATCAAGTCGTAACTAAGGTTTGGTTGGACATTTTAGGGCACCTTTCGAGCCAAATTTTCTGAAAAACGCACATCTAAGCAAAGATACCAATATCTCAATCTTGATTAACAGTGCTGAGATTTTTTTATCAAATGGCAGTCACAAATTCACACGTGACAATCTGGAGGAAAAAGGACCTCAGCACTTGAAGGCATAATTTTCAGAAAAGCAATTTGTGTCAAAGTGAGGGCAAAACAGCTTCTAAGATTTCAACAATAAAAATCAGTACAGTGTCCTAAAGAATGGTTACGAGAAATTTATACAACTTAAGTGCCTAAAGAGAACGTAAAGTGGCATTGTAATGCCAAACCATTATTTACTCAGATTGCTGATTTCCCTGAAGGGCAGAATGCTGTTTGGATCTCTTGTAGAAAGATTGATTTTGGCAGGAAAGTGGACGACATCTGATGTAATTGGACGGATTCTGGTTACTCCATATTGTCCAATTACTTAATTTTGAGTTTTGGTGGACTAAGGTTCCATTACGGTAGACGATCCTTTATTAACAAAATAATTGTGCAGAAACCAACAAATGATAGAAGACAAACGATAGTTTGTAGGTATCACGCTTTTCATATGAGCCGTTTGCATACTAGATAAAAGAGGCTTTTAGTTTTTCTCTTCCAATTTCACTCTTATACACAAGGTTCAATGCAATGCCTTTTTCAATTGGGTTGTATTTTTCCAAAGAATGCTGATCTCTTTGCAAGAGAATGATTGACTTACTCATGAAAGGTGATTGATGACAAAAATATTACTTTAATCCCCCAAAAAACGAATACAGGTTCCAATCTCGATAAACTGCCATTAAATTTTACTGATTTGACTGTTTCTTAAAAAAACATGTAGGTAACTCGTGCATTCTTTAAGCAGCAACCTACCAACCATAAACTGAAAAGCATGTATACAAATTGCAAAATCCCAATTATTTTCAGAATAAACCATGGGACAATTTTTGTACAAAATAGACCGAGTTAAACACAAACACACAGAGTCGCATTTTGGGGGGGGGGGGATGAATTGGGAGTGAATTTAAATTTAACTGGTCACAAATTTTCTCCTGTCCGAAATTCTAGGTTGAGAAAAAATATTTTGAGAGTATAAATATTCGATTCCTCAGACCTTGTCCACACAATCGTGGTTCGAGCAAATTCGGGCGAACTTGTTATGACTTGCCTATAACTTGTTGCTTTGCTTGAACACTCCGGTTTGAGGAACGAATTCGCCCGAACAAAGCTCGTGTGGACGAGGCCTCATTACATCTACTGGAGGCGTGAAACTTTGAACCTCTCCTTCTTGATTCACTTGATGCAACTTGGTACCTTTTTGTTTAATTCCATCCAAATGTTGGTAAATTCTTGAAACAAGAGGTTTCTTACAAATTTTGCGGAATCATACTGATCCTGATATCTTAAAAAAATGAAAATTTGGTTTGAGAGTTTGTAAAATCCTTCTCAGAAAGTAAAAGTTTTTCAACTTTTCTCTTCGAAATATTTTCTGGTGTACATCAAACAAGTGTCTTTTTTAACAGAACAAAACTTCAATCACTAAAAAAATAAAACTTGTCACTCGGTTTTTCTTGCTCTCCTAAAAAAATAAGAAAAAACAGATTTTCACTAAGAATTCTAGGCATTAAAACCTGGATGCTTCCTCGTGATATAATTTTTAATACTGAAAATCTGACAGTAGAAAAATGTACAATTTGTTTCTTCTCTTTTCAAGTGACAATCTGTACGGATGAACCTTCCGTGGCTTGCACCAGTAAACACTTACCTACCTACCAACACTATTGCATTTTTTTCGTGATTAAAAAAATATTTAAAAAAAAAGCTGCTGAAAAAATAGGTAAAAACAGCACTCAAACTCATTTACTTTGAATTCAAGAAGTAGCATTTGGCAAAAGAGAAACTAAGGACCTTCTCAACCTTCTCTAATCGAGTTGAGATCAGTTTTGAACTTGTCCAGCACTATATTTTCACTGGTAAATGCGTGAATTCCTTATTGTGCATTCAGTATGAAGAAATTGGACTTCGATTCTATTCTTTACTTCAAACCTTGCAGGGAAATTTCACATCACACCTGCTTTCCTCCTTTCCTGTTTAAGGTCACTTAGTCCCATTTTGCTGCAGGATGTCTGAAGTAGGTATGCTGTAAAACCAATTGCATTATACTCTACCTACATGTTTAAAAATTGAGATCATCAATGCTATCCAAAAGATATTTCTAGAAATATTTTTCAAGTATGCAAACAAATAAAATTTCTTACAGGAAACTAATGCAATTAATGGTGCGCCACTTAACTATGCAACAATAACCTTACTGGGTTCAACAGCAGCTTTTGATTTAGTCTGCGCCCCGCTGGAAGGTCGGAACGTTACATACGTATATAAGAGACTACCGAATACACTTAGATTGATGCCAACAAAATTCTGCGGAGAAAATATGTAGTCGCCACCAATGAACATACCTAAATAAGTGACTAAGATATTCTTTAAACAACCAATAATCGTTGTTGTTAAGGCCGAATTATACTGTGTGCAGAGCATGACACTGAAGATCAGGATGAAACCCATCGTGCATGTCAATGCAAATTGAACTAAAAAGAATGGGTCTACCCAGTTTGGATAGTCATAGACCAGATCTAGGTCACCAGAATAATACATTAGGAACAAAGAGACAGGTAACATGAACAGTGCGCAGTAGAACATGAGCCCGTACTTGCCCATCTCTTTCCCACTGTTCAATTTTTTCTTGGTGTAAACACCATTACATGCAGTTAAAAAGTCACTAATTAATATATACATGTAGCCATTGAAGTTAAAGCCAAGGTCATTGGATGCTGCGATAATCGCACCAATGACCATGAGCGACACAGAGACTTTAACAGCAAATCTTGGCCTAACACTTAAGACATAATACTCAGCTATCATTGTCATTAAAATTGAAAAACGTCTAAGCATGGTGAACATCGGTAAGCTGAGCTCTTTGGTGCCTCCAAGACCAAAGACCATGTTACCCACATATATGAAAGGCAAAGGCATAATGTCATAGAATGTTTTCATGTGAAGGTCTGGGAAGGTTATGAATTTTAGCTTCTTCCCTACGTATAGTACAATGACTGTAACGAACATTTGTCCGAAAGCGACTGCTTGAAATGATGGAAATTTATAGGAGGTAAGTACTGATTTGTTGACAATTGTAATTAAAAATGAGGCGATGGCATAGAATAATGCCGTTGTAACTTTGAAAGCAAACATTTTGCGGGATGCAAAGGTATCTGTGACTAGAGGGGGTGAGGGTTCTTTTGAAGGAATTAGGCATTCTTCATCGCTGCGCTGGGCCATTTTAAAAGTCAATGAAGTGTTCTAAAATCTAACTGCACTTTTGATACACATATTGATGGATTCGTTTCTCATTGTAAAAATGACTTCACTAAAGATAAAGGGCAAATCTAATTACAGCATCTCAACTTTAGAGTTCTTGAACAATGATTCTTAACTGTTGCCTTGATTTTAAAAAATATTTCAATGATTAAAAGTACGACTGAAAATAAAGACAGTGATTAAAAAAAATGTTCACTTCTCAAAGTTATTTTTAGAAAGTTCTTGATATTCGATGATCAGATTAAACTTTTTAGGTATTCAACTGAGATCCAGTTATTGTAATTGTTAAACTAATTATTCTGACAAAAAAAGAAGTATGGAGACAGAGCATTTACCATTTTTTTATGGTCAACTCACATAAATTTCAATGCAGAATGCAAAAAATTGTACAACTGGTTTCATGAATCTGTTTGAAGGAAAAATTAAACCCAGTTTTATTAATCCTTGTGCATTTTGGAGACAGTTTAACACCAGAATCTTCTATACCTTACTTACAGGCATTGAAAATATCCAAAGGTGGGTTTATTTTCACATTTTCTCAGCAAGGAGCTGAAGATTAAGAAAGTCAGGAATGCAAAATTACCAGTCTTCAACTTTCCATGCGGTTACATTTTCATGAAAGTGACTGTGTTCCGAAATCAACTTTCAGTGATTACTTACTACAGAAACATAATTCATTTGGTACATTACTCATTGTAGAGCAATCATGGTGCTTATTAGCCTCCTTCCACAACTTACTTGAATAAATCCCAGTTTGCATGAAATTGCCGAGTCAGGGCACCTTCGATCTGGCAATGGAAATGACAAAATAAGCTCATCGATCCGATGGTGAGACGAATTTTTCGGCATCACTTGAGTTGATATTTTGTAAGACACGCACTGAGTTGTTTCGATAAAGTGTCAAAGAAGCAGCCAATTCCAAAATCAAGATGTCTGTAAAGGGAAGGAAAAAACACGGCTTGATTACTTTTACAAGTTTTGTACATAAAAATTCAATAAAATAACTACAAAGAACTGTTCAAGAAAATTTTCAAGAAACTATGAGACTCACATTTTGCCATCTGTTTTTTGCACCAGTTTCACAGAGCCTTCATTTGTCAATGGCTCAGTCAGAAACTACATAGATACCACCAATTTCAAAGTTTCAAACCTTTCCTCAAGCTTCCCTGTTTCTTAAGAGAACAAACCAACAGTTTTCCATAAAAAGTTCTCGCAAATTTTTTTCATTCTTTAAAAAGTGCCTTTTAACAGATAATTTCAAGGAGATATTTTAGTCAGGTCCCTTGTTAGAAATAAAACTAATCCTGAGATTTCGGGGCGTCACATTGGAAATACCTACACATTATTTGGCTTTAACCTTTGACGCGCCATTCTATGTTCAAACAGAAAATTCATTTTGAAACAAGGAACAAATTCCAATCATCATGCTTTTGAATCACTGATATGCGCATTGAGAACAGCAAGCCTCAGCATGTTTTGGTAGCAAATTGTAGAAAATATAGGAGCTCATGGTGGAACTTGACCATAATCTATGAATATGATCTAGACTCCTTCAAAGGAGATAATTGCAATAATGATATTAAGTTAGTACCAATTTCTAAAAATTGGAAACATCATTGAAGAAATAGGTATGAGAGCTCGTTGTTGTAAATAATGAAACTAAAACTGCGATGTCGAGGTGAACTGTTTGGACCATTTAGAAAACGGAATTTAGCGATTCTAAACGGCCAGCGCTGGTGGACTCCATTAGAATTACCTGATTACTTGTGCTCACACATGAGAGCCTAATGTTTCTACCAAACGCTCGACGATTACAGGAGGTTGATAGAACCATTAGGTTACGTTTGCAAACAAAAGAACCAAACAAAATTGCACAAGTTTACTTCGAAAACACACCTTAACAGCTCAGAAGCAAACTTTGAGAGTCAGACAGATAATCCTCTACTCCTTTAGTTGCATTTGCTGTATGCAGCAAAGTAAGAACATCAGATTGTCAATTGAGGTTTGAAGATGGGCCAACCAATTCAGTAAGATTTTTTTCTCTAATTAAAACTCAGTTCCTCCATTTCACCTTCATCATAGCAACCTAGCGGACAGAATTATTTGATCCTTGAAAGGGGTCATGATCGGTAGATGTCTATGGTTCTCCAAAATGATTACTATCATTTAATCAGAGATTCTTGAATCTCATCCAAGCTCTCAATTAAGAAGACATCTACCTCCTAATGTAGGAATCAAAACGACATGCAATGGTTACTGCTTACAGCTAAATCAGAAGCGAGTATTTACTTTGACCATGGTAAAGTTTTGCGACAAATTTCTTCTGGCAAAGGCACTCCCTTCCTACGCAAGAATAAATAAATGAGTGGGTAAAATTCTAGTGAATGAGAATTTTTAAGAGAGATTAACTTGCATCACAGAGATAAAAACTGTGTTTGCTCTGAAAATAGTGGGGACTAAGAGTTAGGAAACGAGTAATGACACTTGACTACCTGAAAAACACACTTTGACACTGGATGACATCGACGTTTGAGGTACGTCAACAGGGAAATTTCAAAGGTGGAGATTATTGACAATGTTAGTTCTCAGTGAGATCATCCGCAACAATCTAATCCAAGGTTTCCTCCAGTCAGGGTCATCATAGATATTTCAAAACGGCCACGTTAATTACTTACAGATCGGCTCTCGCAGCTGACGGACAGTATAAACCACTGAGAAAAAATGGCAAACAATGATAATGATTCACCGATAAATTTGCACAGGATGCTACGTAGCATTTCATTTAACACACCGACTGATAAGGTATCCAGGAGAAAAACGAAAGGTGGAGTAGTGGAGAGGTTATTATTTTATTTATGTTTAGCGATAACAGAGAAAACAGGAGGACGAGAGGTGTGATCCGTATGACTGGCTGCGTGGCAATCCCCACTTTCAGTAGCAGGGAAGAGGTCAGTTTGATTGGATGGCTTTTCGCGCCACTTTTGGGTGCCGAGCCATGGACGAGTTCTATAGTACTGGTCCGTGGTCCCTGGCCGAGCGTAGTTGGCTGGTAGCCACGTATTTCGATTTGCGACGTTACACACTCCTTCTCACCCTTTCTAATGGATCGTATTCGATACATCGAATAGGTGAGATTGTATCTATATCGATTGGTTCAACATGTGGATTGCATTTTGCAAAAAGGAACCACTAGCATTGTAATGATGCTAAGATTGTGCACAAGGTCGGACTGGCTCGCATCTGAGGGCGTAGACCCTTGGCTGGTTAAAGGGGCGTAACGTGATATTTCTTGATGGGGCATCCCTTCGTGGAGAGGGGTTCAGAGCATTTTGGAAAAGCGGCACAAGTTTACGCTATTTTCAGGTTCAAAGTTTAAAAATCGTACAGAGTAAAAATTGTAAAATTGAACGTATTGAAGTGGCCGACAGACTTCTGAAATTAAAACAAACAAAAATATTAAAGCCGCAAGACCAAGACACATCTGAGAACCATTATTTCCATAAGAACCGTGTCAATGCTGCGGTTTACACGAGCTTAAGACGTGAGTCTAAAAATCCATCCTAAAAAAGAATCAGGCAAGAACCTGTAAAAAGAAGAAAGAACGAGTATAAACACAGCCGACGACAAGAAAGACGTATTCGGGCCTCTTTTTTAACTTTTCTTCCGAATCTGAGCGACACCTCATAGGCAGAATATAGCAGGGCATTGAGAACACACGCTTCGCGTCATCGCGCCTTCAATTTTTTAGATGCAGCACGGACGTCCATCAAGTACGAATAGTTGTATCTCTGCGCCGTCGTTAACGCGCATCCTTTCCCTCGCTTTATTTCCATATTGTGTTTGTTTGCGTTTGTCTTATTCGTAATGGAGCTTCAAGCACTACGTGAATGACACAGCCGAAGGTAGGAGAGATGTGTTCGGGCCTCTTTTTTAACTTTTCTCCCGCATCTGAGCGACACCTCATCGGCAGCATATAGCAGAGCATTTAGAAATCTCGCTTCGCATCATCGCGCCTTCAATTTTACAGATGCAGCACGGACGTCCATCGAGTACGAATAGTTGTATCTCTGCGCCGTCGTAAACGCGCATTCTATCCCTCGCTTTATTTCCATATTGTGTTTGTTTGCGTTTGCCTTATTCGTAATGGTGCTCCAAACTAGTAGCATAGGGCAGAGCATTGCGAGTTATCGACTCGCGCCATCGCGTCTTACATTTTTCATATGCAATGTGGACATCTATCTTGCGAGAATAGTTGTATCGCGTTTACACTTTAGATGTCTCTTACTATTGAATTTCGAAATAAATCAAGGTTAAGTTTGCCCGAGATATACTATGATATGTCTAAATCAATAGTCATTTTGAAAAGGAAGAAATATGTTTAAAGGTCTCTCAAGAGGTTTATAAAGTGTGCGTATGTCTAAAAATCGAACCGGCTATTGCTTCTCACATAGTTACACATAGAGAATGAAGGAGGGGGATGATAAAGCGCCTGTATGTCAACAAAAAGGTGACAATTTTACAGAAAAGTGTTTACGCTTCAGAACGTAGTTCTTGGACCTCTGTTCACCACTATACGTAAACGCGCCTCTCCTCACTCCTAACTCTCTCTTCTTCCGTTCATTTAAGAAATTTTCCGCACATATTCTCGGTCGTAATTTTTTTTTTTCTCTCCTTATTTTGCTATCCGTCAGAGGTGGCGCGTTTTTTGCGCATTGGCAGATACGCCAAGAGGGCGTATCTGCCAATGACAGATTGGCCTTATGGCCAGTCCGAGCCTGATTGTGCAACTTCATCTTTTGCAATAAAATTGCGGAAATTGTGAAAAACTATGTTTAGATGGTAATTTTTGTCTTAAATTTACAGTTTTTAGAGGGTAAAATAGAAACTATTAATGGATAATCGGGGTTTTCCTCCAAGACAAAAGAAGTTGCAGAATCTCAGCAACATTGTAATGCTAGTGGTTCCTTTTTGCAAAATGCAATCCATGTAAACATAGCCTCAGAAGTCAATTGATCAATTTGAGAGAGCGGGTTTTTCGTGATGGACTTTTTATTCTCGTAAGTAAAAATGACAATGAAAAGTGAAATTGGTATGTCATTTCTAGCTTTTCCTACTGAAATCCTAAAATTTTCGTTTGAGGTTTCTAGTGTTTGAACCGAACGATACACCGAGCCACTATCGAATATCGATATCTATCTATTTACACAGGGCCTTGCAAAAGTTCGGCTCCCCCTCCCCCCCAACGTTTGGGCGGCCCCAAACTCAAAATTTTCAGTTCCAATTCGAAGTATCATTTAGCATAAAGATCCAGTCATAGTAAACTCGAGAGGAAGCCTCCTTATGGATTTCAATCTTGTTTATATAAATGGCACATACCTATAACTTACCATTCGTGGCTTTTCACGGATGTGGGTCCCTCACATTTACAACGGAAGAAAAGTGCATCATCAAACACAGACCTTCAAAATATCCATTAGTTTTTCATCTTTGCGGATGCTTTTTGGGGGGAATCATCGCGTTTGGCCCTCGCCTATTATTCAGACGGTGGAAGTAAAGTAAAACAATTGTTACACCCATTGTTTATTAAATTTTCGTTTTTCCGTAGTGCTCTCTGAGTTTCCTCGTGATAAGACATTAATTCTTTCACCAACCTACATACGGATGTGTGACGTGTTTCTCTCCGTTTTCCTCCTGAGAAGTCACCAACTAATCCTATATTGTCGGCCATTTTGGAAAAATAAATAGAACTGAAAACCAGCTAGCTGCCTCTGTGCCATATTTATCTTCCTACGAGGATTGAATTTGTGAATGTATCTTTAAAGAGGGGGGGGAGGGAGTGGCGTGAAAAAAATGAGGTTGGGGGAAAATTCTGCAATGCTTGGGAATTTCCCAATCCAGTCTTTAGTTTCTCTTTTTCTTCTTTTCTCGGTGGAATAACTAAAAAAAACTGCACGTCAGCGACACTTCTAAAATGGTTTTTTGGAAATTTTCTGAAGAGCGCTTAAAAAAGAAATCGCTTCTAGCTCTCCTTCAATTTTTACGAAGCAACCCAACCCTCCACTGACGTTAATTAAATTCCATAGTAGCAATGGCTCCTTAAAAAATTCTAAAAAACGTTGTCCAAAAAAATTTAAAAAGCTTGTAAATTTTGAGAGTTCGTAAATTTTAAGTAAAAAAAAACTCTTAAATTACTCGTTTTAGGAAACTCTTTTGGGGAATTCTTTTAAATAAAAAATAGTGTTATTTTAATTAAAAGAAAACGTAAAATTTACGTGAAAAACATATCCTCAATTTTTATGAGCTGCAACTTTTCCTTTTATACTTTTCTGTTCACCACTTTTTCCCCCTCGTTTTTGCCCGCAGGAAGTTTATAAAATAAAATACGTAAATTTTACTTAGAATTTACGTAAAAAAATATACTTAAAAGAGTTTTCTTCAATTTTATGGAAAAACAGCCCCAATAAAGGTTTCCTGATACGAATATTTCAAGAGCTTTTTTGCGTAATTTTCAAGTGGTTTTGAAGTAAATTTTAGGTTCTCTTTAAATTTACGAGTTTTTTACAACTTTTCTCAACAGCCACTGCTACTACGGTTGCTTCAACCGATTTAGTTGTATTCTGAATATTTCATACGTTCTTGGGCACCTATTACTTGCATTAAAGGTATCGAAATGAAATGCAGGCAATTTTTTTTTTTCCATCTGTAGTCGCAGAACAAGCATATTGATGGTAACACTCCCAAACCTCCTATCTGGCTTTGCGATGTTGTCGACCTCCTGTCATGCTTTATATTTTAAATTAAAAACCACGCAATGTCAATTCTGAAAACCTTCCACGATTCGTCTTCTCTATACGAAGCAAATTCTGAGAAAATTTCAAGGAATACTGTTGTTTTGTTCTCCCTTGAAAAATAAATCAGGAGCAACTAACACAACATTTAAACGAGGACGAAACCATGCATTTCTCGTTTTCCCCTCCGCGCTAAGGAAGGACACCGTATGGACATTCGAGTGTTGCCAAATTTCCCTTGATAAAACATGTATTTTTGACAACAGTCATGCAAATTTATATTTTAGATTGAATTGCGTACAAAATTGTCTGAAAATTTTGGAAAGTAATATTCGCATTTTCCCCAGTAAATTCGGTTTTTTACCGGAAGAAATTTGGCAACGTTTGAAAGCTCATACGGCGTTGCTTCCCTAGCATGATGGGAGTATATTCTCTTTCTCTGGCTCAGAGATGCGCCGATACGAATTGCAGTTTACGAACAGCCTCATGACAATATTACGTTCAATGAGCCCCCTGGACGATATAAGTAAGTTTGTAATTATATTGATCTTTAAGTTAATTGTTTTGTAAACATTTCCATTCAGATTTATTTTATATGGTTTATTCATAAATTTTTAGGGGGATTTAGACGATATGAGGGAGTGCCAACTCCCTGAAGGGTTTCGGGATGATAGGGGATTTTGATTGATGATAGTGTCGCAGAGCGCCAAAGAGCGCTATGAAGGTGGCTTTTATGTATGTATTTAATTATTTCATTTTATTTTTTATTATTAAAAAAAATCAGTTACAACTATGGCACTATGCTTCTATAATCAGTGCATATGATGTGCAGCATTTAGAATCGGATTACAATAAAATGAAATGGATCACGTAAAACAAAGCTAAAATTAAATGCATTAGAGCCGAGTCATTTTAACTAGCTACTGATTGTGAGTCATGCACAATGCGAATAGACAAACATCGAAACATAAAATAGAAAACTCAATCTAGAACCTGCATGACCAGAGAAAAGACCCGTGAGCTTTACGATGGTCAAAAAAAAAAAAAAAAAAAAAAAAAAAAAAAAAAAAAAAACCTCTTTTTTTAGGTAAACCTTTGCTCCACTCAAAATTCCTGGTGCTGCTGAACCTCAATGACATTTTGGTACCTCTACGTGGATCCGGAGCCCTCCCCTTTTTCGAAAAATGAGCTGATTTTTAGGATTTTTTGTGAACCATATCACTATAGCAATATTCCACTATGAGCGCCTGTTACTACAGATCGCAATGAAATGCATCTACCATAATGAAGCTTTTGTGAATAAACGTGCTCTAAAGCACGATCTCGGATCGGAGCGCCTCCACTTCCTGTGATACTCTACGCTTTGTCGCAGAGTTAGTTTAGTTGCCTGTCCGATCTAAACTCAACTAAGGGCACGAATCTTACTACACTTTCCATTGAATGAGCCTGTTATTACCATGTTTTTAAGGAAGGAAACGTGTCTATTTGCATTTAAGGTCAAATAATCAGTGCTCCAATCGTGTTCTTTAATTTCTAAATTTCATGTTTTCCGATTTATTCACTGGTGGCTTGCAAATTGTCATTGATCTCTAATTGCCTTCGAAATTTAATAATGAAAAACTAAGGTGATGCGCGGTTAAAGGCATCTCCTTTCTCACGTTGACTTAATCCGTAGTTTTCCGAATAGCCTGTGTCACACTACTAAAGCTAGCCATCAAAATATCAAGGTCAGGTGTTCTGCCGTGCTAAGGAAGAACGCCGTATGAACTTTCAGGCGTTGCCAAATTTCCTTTGATAAAACAAGAATTTCCTGGTAAACATATGAATATTTTCCTGCCAATTTTTCAGATAATTTTGTTCGCAATTTCACTTAAAGTTCCTGAAAATTTCAAGGAAAAATATTGATAGCTTTCTTCAAAAATATAAATTTTATTGAGGGAAACTTGGCAACTCTCGAATGTTCATACGGCGTTCTTCCTTAGCACGGTAGTGTTGTGATTGGCTTATTCGATGACTTGGACCGATCACAGCACTTGACCTTCACATTTTGATGGAGTTTTTTGATAGTGTGACACAGGCTACTGAAGGAACGTAACTCTATTCCAAAGTTGCAAAACTGAGTAAAAAAAAAAAAAAATTTTTTTCACAAGAATACACCTCTGCATTTTGGTCCTAATTTTTTTTTATATTTTTTTTAATGAGAAATTGAAGAAAATCGAAGAAATGTTCAGTTAGAGTTTCCCGAGAATTTGCTGGTAAAAATAAAATTTGCGAGGAAAATTTCGGCAACATATAAATGTAGTTAGGTTCTTTCGTGACAGAAATGGCGAATGGTTTCAAAAATAACGATTACGGTTGATTTTAAGCCGAAGAGGTCTGCAAACAAACCGTAGCCCAGCTTTAAATGAACGCTGTTTTCAAGACAGAAATAATTCACAAATCCATGAACGATACAGACGTGTGTGTGAGCGAGGAGGGGTGAGGGTGTGTGTGTGTATGAAAGGGGAAGAGTCACGAATCCCCGGCTTCGTCTCTATGGTGATTTGCGTAAACAAAATATAGGGCAATTCAAGTGTCATCGCTTGTGCGTTACTAATATGCTCATATTCATCTTCTGTTCGAGTTTTCCTTCTTCTGTGAAACAATATGATTTTATGTATGACACGCAAGTGCCGGTCTTTCCAGGGAGCGTGAAAAACGAATTGACGTGAAAAATTGAAACGTTGGAATTGGAATTTTTTTTGGTGATTTCACCGAGTAATGTAAAATTTCGACGAGGAAACGTGTGTTGTGGTGCTTCAATTCTTATCAGTCCTGTGGTTCATTGCTAAACATTTATCGGTGTGAAGGAAGGAACACAAAAATTCTGAGAGGTTGATTAGAACTTTCAAAAATATTTTTAAACTTTTTGCGGGAATTTTAAAATACTCGACATAATAATACTCACTCAATTTCATGTAAAATTTTGACGAGGAAACTTGTGTTGTGGTGCTTCAATTTTTTTATCAGTCTTGTGGTTCACTGCTTAACATTTATTTGTGTGAGGGAAGGAAGACTAAAATTCTGCGAGGTTGATTTGGACCTCTTAAAAATATTTTTAAAATGTTTGCAGGAATTTTAAAGTATTCGATAGAAAATATTGACTAGAAGAGTTTCTTACAGTCAATATTCGATCCTCATTTAATGAGAATCTGATCATCGGCGAGTAACAATTTTTGCCATAATATTATATCAAAAATTAAGAAAAAAAATTAATATCTCAAAATTAAGATAAAAAATTAACTTCGCATTAAAATGTTGGAAAAATAAAATAAAAGCAGAAATTCTTGCACCCCGCGATCGAGATCTCTGGTATGGTAGTTTTACCGTCGACGTAGGAAGAATGGAAATCAAAAACCTGATAGATGCCAGGAAGAGTTGCTAAGGTTGAGCAAGATACTCTTATCTGTAAAAACGACCTAAATGCTCTTACTTCACGGACATTTCATTGAGACATTTTTTCCTTAATTTTGAGATAATCTCACGACAAAAATTGTTACTCCCCGATCATGATATTCCCATTAAATGAAGACAGCTGCACGATCCTACGATTCTGATAACGTTCACCGTTCCTCGCGTCGTATGTTTTGATCATTTTTATAACGATGGCTAGAACGGATTGAGGTTATTTTCATCGACAATTTAATTTCATGCACAGTGTTTTCTATATCGTTATAGTGCTTCTATCGTGCCGCAATGAGAATTCATGAGATATAGAGGCAACTTCTGTGGGCGATCCTTCTTCATTTGCGTCTTAACAGTAGCGGTCAAGCGCATGACGTTCAACTCTATTGAGGTGCGCGCGGTGAGACCGGTGATATATGCTACGATGTGTCCCTCTGCCTTTTTCATAAACAATTTTACAACGTGAATCCCCCCCCCCCCCCCCACGGGAGAATGGATCGGCGTCGCGACGGGACCGGGATGAGAACTTTGGCAACAGAGCGACCTTTCACCCCATTCAACGCCCAACGGCACTTCTTTGGGCCCCGCTTGACTTTGAAGTCACCACTTTTAACCAGGTAGGTGGCACGATCATTCTTGAGTTTTTTTTTTTTTTTTTTTTTTTTTTTTTTGTTTAATCACCATCCAATTCCGTTACTACAGAATTAAAAATTTACATCAAAAGAAAATAGAACTATCACAAGTGAAAAAAATAAATATAAATAAAAAATGGTTTATCAATTTTTGGGTGGCTGCCGGAATCACAGTTGGGCATAACATCAGCAGCATTCTTGAGTATTGTATGTGCTAACCTGGAGGTCAGGTTGAAAGGAATGAGATGAAAAAAAATAATGGGTTGAAGGAATGGGGTTATTGAAAATTGAAATGTATGCGAAACTGCAAAAACACGTATCTCGGACACCGCAGACCTTCTGCAGTCGAACAGTGTCGACATACAAATGTCGAATAAGTACACAACTCTGTGTACTGATGTTAAATTTTAAAAAAAGAAAATGAAAGAAAGGAATTGGTGTCTTGGGCGGGGGCAAGTTGCTCCATAAGGGGTGCGAAAAATCACTTACTCTTTCGAAAAACAGCGGATGTAGTCTTTTTTAAAATGACTGTATGTCGTTAAGACTTTCTTAAAATTTAAAGTTCTAAAGTTCCTTTTATAGAGGAGGATTTGCTCTTTAATATATTTCTTGACCAAACCTTATTTGATGCACGAACATCAAAATACACAGCTTAGAAAACCTTGAACGCGATTTTCTCAAAGCTTAAAACTCTACATCCGCTGCTTATATATATATCAAATGATTTTATAAATGAATATCTAAGAGAAACAATATTTGGGAAATATTATTTCCTCGGAAGTCAAAATAATATGTAAAAATAGAGGCCTTTGAAATTTATCTCGACAAACGGATTCAGGACACTTTATTAAACAAATAATAAAATAACAAAATTGTGACTTCGAATTTATTTTATTTCATGGAATCCTTTTCTTTTCCATTCATTTTAAATCTCTGTTTTCACAATTCTATCCACAACCAACGAACACTTTTAGATACAATTTTAATTTTCTGTTCGAAAAAAATACAATTTTATCCAAAAAGAAAGCAATATAACATTTGCTAACAGTGTTTCGTACCTTTCTACATGCAAAACAAGGTATTAAACTTAAAGTCGATGCCTTAAAATTAAATATCCTAAAGTCACATAAGCTCTGGCAGAATACGGCATCATCATGCACTGAATTATGATAGATGCACAGGAACAAAGCTGAACAGTTTTCCGTGTGGCATAAACAAAATTTTGAAGGTGCTTTGTATGTACTCTCTTTATAAAAAAGTTCAACTATTCAAGTTTGAGGAGTGTTTCCTCTGATAAATTCAAATATGAGGTACTTAAGGCGTGCCAATCTACAGCGCAAGTTGACGACCGAAGTTGGCTCAAAGATGTACTGAAAGACATTAGTAGAATTTTAGAATTTTTTCTAACGGAACATTAAAACGTTGCTGTTGGTCCTCTACATGCATCGTAGATTTGCGCGCCTTGAAAATGTACTTTGGAGGTGTGAACAACCATTTATCGTAAGCATGATACTTCATTGTGCTTTCAAGTACAAGTCTTTTAGTGTATTTTCCGAAGGAAAGATACACTATTGCGTTCTCCCTCATGGTGGGACCTAGACCTGGGACCATGTAAAGAGCACTGATCTCGAGTCGTAGATCACGAATATATATGTCATTCAGTTTCTGTCATATACAGGGTTATTCAAAAGTTACGCACCACTGGCCATAACTGGCCATAATTAGAACTAAAGTTATGGCCAGTGGTGCGTAAATTTTGAATAACCCTGTATGTATATATGTAGTTAGTTAGTTAGTTTTAGTTAACGACGATCAGCATCTAGGCTATTTACGTCGGGGACTAGGCAATATATGTATGTATGTGAGTGTGTATGTATATATGTATGTATGTATTTCAGCCAGCGTGAGGATTTTTTAGTTTTCAGAGCGTTGAGCGGCAGTTAATTTTTTTTTTATTTTTTGGCAAAATTATGAAAGTAAATACAAAGTGGAACTAAAAAATTATGAAAGTAAATACAATTTGGAACTAAAAAAATTCATATTCTCACAATTAGCCAAAGGCGTATGTTTATAATCTAATAAAAAGAAAACATAAAGCACACAACATTGAGCGCCTGTACATAAAAGTGCAGCGTCGGAAGCGTTGCTAAAGCATCTCGTCTGCTATTCCAAATAGGTACCTACTAATCGCCCTCGCTATGTCAAGTATAGTTGTAGCACTTATAAGTATTGCGTTGAATTATTTTCTCCGATACGCAAACATGAATATTGGTCTCTCGTCACAGATCATTGATACGATCAGAAGAAAAGTAACTCTTCGCTGTTCTCCTTATTTCTTTCAAATGCTTTTTAACCAAACGCTTAGACATTTTGAAGTAACTCTGAACAAATCTAAATTTTCATCGGTAATCAATTTGTATATTCGCTTTTGTCTTTTCGTGGCATATCCATATATTTATTCTGGAATGAAAAAGTAAATTACAGTAACTCAAGCTAGTAAGATACTAAAAATATACAAATTCTTGTATTTTAAGTCGGATATTCGAGCAAGTTTGCTAGGAAACTTGGTGTTTCTCCGAAATTACAGAGCTTTAATTCATGGATTCAACGAGAAAAAAAGTAGGAATCAAGTTGGAATTTCCAGTAATGTCTAATGGATTTTTTTCTAGTTTCACGCTTCAGTACTCGCACAAATGAGCTATTTTTCGTCCGTTAAGATTACTTGCCTGTGAGAGATGAACGAAAAACGGAGCGGCAGTGAAAAGAACGTATGTGAAACTTTTCATTTTCATGCAAAAGAATGGTCAACAACTATCAGTTAGTGTTTTATTCATTCATGAAAAGTGCTGGGAAGAGGGGCATGAGACATTGTAATTTGACTATACTATCGACCCCTGGGTATTACTACCAAAACCAGCACCTATTTTGTCGGCGATTAGCCGAGGGTAAAACCCTCGTTTCCACCGTCCACCACGAGGAGGAACCGACATCAGACGGCAACGCTTCCACCGTCCAACTTACAACTCCCATGGCATTACGTTAATTTGAAATTCAAAATTTTGAAGAAATTTTGAAGAAGTTGAGAAGAAATTTTAAAAG